GAAAAGTAAATTATAACTGTAAAACTGTAAAGGTTTTTGACTGCTGAAGGCATTTAAGGTGTGATTTTCATTTCAGCATGGTTCCTGTATTGGCATGTGTGACACCTAGTGCTTTTTACACTGGATTAGTCAGTCCATTACCGGCGAGGACAGAAAAGCCTTAGTGAGGTCACCAACAAGAACACATAGCTGTCAACATGCAATATGGCAGGATGAGAATATTTTCACAAAGTAATCCCCCTCTTTTCTCTCAATTCATCACTGGCATAGTAGTGCAAACCAACCTCACAAATGGTTATAAATAACTAAGAGCAATAAAAGCATAGTGACATCACAAAAAGCCACAAGAAGTGAACGCCAAATCTTGAAATGCAACCTCAAATCTCACAATCCTTAAGGAGTGTAAGATGAATTGTTGAGTGCTGTGAATGCAGAAAAGTCAAGTCTGATACATTGTCCAAATATAACAAGTCTGCCCCGACAAGCACACACACACAAGCACCGACAGATTGATTTGTGTGAGTGGAAATGATAAGTTGTTGATTTTGGCTCTGGGGCTATTTCACTAAGATAGATAGATATTCGGAGGTAAACATGGGATTTGTTGGATTAAGATCCATTTAAGTTATTAAGTCACATGGAGGAGCTGTCAACTGGCTCTGGTAGTCTGGTATGAAAAGGTTACGGCACAAAGTTTGCAACATTGCAGGTTTTAAACTTAGTCCATCATGCAATGTGGGTGTAAGAGAAAGCAATAGAAGGAGGCAGAAAGACAGAAACTACGTATACAATTGTACAGTCTTTTAAATAGACCCCTCACTGTGGTCAGTTGTTATCATCGCCTGTTGAAAAGCATCTCTGGGGAGGCAGGAGGCAGCGATCACTGATGCAGTTCCAGGAACTGCATTCTTCCTCGAAAAGGTTTTAATATAGATATAGCTGTCCAGTGATCTTGCTGTAGTCACAGCACAACAATCACGTGTGATTACCAATTCTTCAAAACCTGTTTTTATCTTCACGGACATTTCTTAATAAAGCTCTGGAGGTAGGATTTATCCTGTGGTGACATTCAGATGCTTTATTACAGACTAAGCATGGAAGAGAACCCAAAGAAATTCAAATTCTCATGAAAGGTATATATACTCATCTAAAACATAAAATGTATTACTGCTATCAACATATACATAAACAAATAAATAAGAGAGAAAAATAATTAATAATAATAATGTCAAATCTAAACGACCTATTCTGACATCATTTTGCAGTTTATACATGTAGTTTCTGAATTACCCAAGATGCACTCTGTTCAGTATTCAGCCTCGACCCAGGGGCTCGAGAGGTACAGATCCAGATCTGTCATGAGTGGGTGGGGTCAGGGGAGCTGACCTGTGAGATGATGCATCTATTCTTGGTAGCTTAATGCACATGCTCCCCTGGGCTGCCTCCCCTTAAATTATTTTAGCAGCGGATCCTGTAAATGGGCTGCCCTCAGAAAGGTTTAAATATTGATTCACTGTGTTATAAATGTAACTGGGAAGTAGAAGGCAGCTATTTTCTGTCTCTACACATGAGGGACCTTGTTCTTGAAACTCCTTTGATCCGTAAAACAAGTAAATGGATTTAAAAATAAATGGTTTTAATGAGGATTAACGGTAACTGGGGTGCTTCTGTGGGCTATTTTCTACAAAATCTTTTCAGCATCCATTAAATGGTTTCTTTACTACAAGGCATAGTATTAAGGTAGTCTAGTGCTTACAGAGACAATTGTGTAACCAAACTATTATAGCTTACTCTTCCATTACTCTCTTTAACTCTATAAATAGCCACTTATCTCTTAGCGAGACCCTTACTTGCTTACCCTTACAAGAGTTCTTACTGAAATTCACTTTGAATACTACAACATACTAGCCTAGATGTAAATTAGACTGTTACACTGTCCAGCTCTTTTGCTGCTGCGTATTACAGTGTATGACTGTCTATAGAATTATTTGGAAAACCCTGCTTAACGAATGCAGGATAAGATCAATAAGATCTACTGCAGACTATCAATAAATATACTTGATGAGAACTTAACAACCCCTTTATTTCACACTGTCGGCATTTGCTAAAATCTTTTCCTTTCTTCTCCAAATATCTCCTTTTATGGAATGCGTCAAACTGGAATGCAATGGTAAAACATTTCATTGGCACTTTGAGAAGCAGCACTGTCAATCTTGGCCTGTTATAAAACAGTTTTTCTACAACGTAAAAAAAAAAGAAAGAAAATGAAGTGGTGAGAACAATTTGCAAAAACAGTAGTCCCTGGGCAGATTGCACTGGACATACAGTTGTGGTTACAGCTACTCAACCCTAGGATGCAGTACCGGTACAATGTGATAATACCGTGGCTAAGACTTGCCATGAGCAAAACATGCAGTATATTCACATATGTATGGAGCTTAGCAACAGCTGCTGTTAGGGTAAGTGTGGTTTGGCAGTAGTGCTGCGTTCTCTAATAACCCCTACTCTGTGGTACCTTCTTAAACCCAACTCTATGGTTAGGCTGGCAGAGAGCGATATGTGTGTGTATGTGTTTCTGTTTTGTGTGCCAGTCTATATGAGCGCGCGTGTGTGTGTGCGTGTGTGTGTGTGTGTGTGTCAGTGATTAGCGGTCAGAAGCGCTGCCCTTCATCACCATAAACTGGATTTAATAGGTCGGATAAGATTAGGGTTTGGTTTGATTCTTGTATCTAGGCTTGAACTATATTGTTTGTGAGGAGTGAGTCACGTCTTACGTAAGATCTAACAGCCACAGACAAATGAAATAGAGACGTACATAGATACAGAGGGGGAGGGAGAAAAACAAATAGTAAAGGATGAAGTTATGATAAGAATGAGGGCGGTAGGGAGGCAGATCTAGATAAATTACTTGTGGAGTGACATCATATGTTTGTGTCATACAGACTGGATGTCATCAGCCCTCAAGTCACCTTTAGTCTCTAAAAACAGGGCGTGGATTCATTCCCGTGCATTGCATATCAATGTCACCTTGCAGTCAGTCACATGCACCCACTCAACCTCCTCTTCCTGTCTTCTGCTAATCTACATTTTTCATTTCTCTTTCATTCTCTCTCCTTTTAGAGACTCAAAGTTCAATAAGTTCACTCTGTTTAAGTCATCCCAAACCAGATGCACTTTTAATTTAAAATCTTCAAGAAACTGACACATAATACACTGGTTTGGATACAATTACTGTTTTTTGTTTTGTTTTTTTGAACTGTGAACCAATGGGGTATGTTGGACAGATGAACGTTTGTGTTGATTTAATTGGCTGAAATTTTTGTTTACACCTACTGATGCACAAAGAAGTGATGGTACACTGATCCTCAGATATAGAAATATAATAACATTCTTTGTTTCTGGCTTCACTTTTGGCGGATTTATTGAAAAGATTTCACTCATTTGAGCTTAATTTTTTAGACGTGACCTGACCTTAATCTGGAATTACTCAAAAACATAGTATCCACTTACTGTACACGTCATGGTCTTAAGTAGACCTATAACAAACATTTACTATATCAGCGCCGAAAACTGCCCCAGTACTTACTCGCACTCCTGCCAACGTCTTGAAACCTCAAACCATATAACGGTCATTGTGATACTGCAGTAAAGGTCAGAGTGGGCTGCTGAGACAATTATAGTTAAGTTACTGCCAACTTCTGTGGGAATAAGAAAACCTTCACTGTGCAACTTCACCATTTATTTCCATTTATCATCTTTTCATTCCTTTTTTGCAATTCAGAATACTACTCATAATTTGTTATTTCAGATGTGACAGTGCAATTCTGTGTACATAATTGCTTTTGTATAATTTTAGCAAGTCTCTTTCTTTTTTTCACTTTCATTTTCTATTTCTGTCTTCTGTCTGTCATTTTTTTTCTCTCTCAGTTAGATAACACACGCTCCCAGACGCAAACACAAACACAACACACACACACACACACACACACACACACACACACACACACACACACACACACACAATCACACTGTGGTGGTAAGAATTCACATGGCTTCAGTTAGTGAGAAAAGTATCACATCCAAAGTAATAACACAAACATGGCAACCCAAAGCGGCCTCGAGGGGGATTGGCACAGGACCTGGCAAGCCATTCATCATCAGTTTCATGTTGCCATAAGTCTGTACACTGCCAATTTGTGTATGTGTGCATGTGAATAAGTTGCATGTGTATATGTGGGTGCAGTGCCTGTATGTGTCGTATTTTGTGTGCGTGCCAAAGAAGCCGCACTGTCCCAGCAGAACGTAACAGGAGCCTAAGCAAACTTAAAAAAAAGGATTTATCATGTTTCAGGATTGTCCTATACTTAAAGTGATGAGAGAAATATACTGTGTCTGTGTGAACGTTAATGTGTGAATGAACAGCAGACTGGGAGGGCAACAAGAGGTAACGTTAGGAGTAGACACTGAAAGGCATTGAAACCAAGGGACCATCAAGTTACTTGTTCAAGCACAAGGGACTGAAGCCAAGATGTGTGTGCCAGACCTTTGATTGCTGCACTTTCACTACAGACAGTGAAGTGGAATGCACAGAGAGCAAGAAAGGGGTTTCCTGTGTGGTCAATACATGACAGATGGCATATGATTCAGCTGAGCTATCACAAGTGTGGCGATGGGGGTTGAGCCAAGGAGACACGAGAAATGCGGCGAGGTGGTGAAAAGATGGAGAGGGAAAGGGAGAGGGAAAGGAAGGAGGTAAAGCATGAAAATCAGTTTTCATCTTTTTAATCACTTATCGGAACATATGGCATCGCTGGGATGCCATTCTACAGCTGCACTGCCATGAATGAGTGTATATGCATGTGTGTGCGAAGATAAAACCGGGACATGTGCTTTTATCGCATCGTAGATAATACTAACGAGTGTGTTGGAGTAGACATATCATCATGTGTTTGTGTCTGTCAAAGTGTGTCCACATTTTTGTGTGTGTGTTTTTGTCTTACCCTGGAGATGGTGAGGGGCATGTTGAAGTCCTTCCCTCCCTGCAGCCTGAAGCCCCAGGGGGCAGGGCCTAAGAGAGTGGCGCTGTAGTTGCTGCTCATGGTCTCCTCGATGATGTCAAATGTGTTCTGTGGTGCTGGCAAGTGATGATCCTGATGGCCCGGAAAATATGTTGCAGATCAGGTGATATTGATATGTTTTTTAAGGATTTGATGATAGGGAAGAATTTTGGCCAGAAGTGCTACGTCTCCCTTTAAGATGTTGTTCCAAGATCTGAGGGAACATGTGAAAAAAAAGCATACATTGGATTTGTTATTGCATGGTTACGTAAGAAAAAAAGGAAGTGAGAGGAAAGATTTAGTGATGGATGTTCAAACGAGGAATAAGAGGGGTCAAGAGGACAAGGCAAGGGGAGGAAACGAGAAGCACAAGATGAATGAAATTTGAAAAAAATATATGTATTATCATAAAACCAACTATAGTTAGAGTCACGTTAAGCAAACACACAGAAAAATCCAGATATACAACATGAATTGGACAAAAATCATTAGAAATTGCATTATATACATTTGTAAGCAGGTGAAAATATAAACACACACATGCAACAAAATAGAATATTATGTCTCACTATGCTAGAGTATGCTGCAGCAGTTAAAGTCGCATTAAAGCCTTACAATACCCCCCAAGAAACCCTCACCAGAGGACAATTACACAGCTAACATTAATGTAATTGCTGCACATTTCCTACTATTTAGTGCTATCATGATGTGAATGGAAAAGGCTGTACCTCTTTAATGGAAATTCCAGAGAGGAAAATAATTCCTTCACAGGCAGGTAGACAATGTAATCCCTAGTTTTCCCCTGGACTATCCCCTTCCCAGCAAACACACTGTATGTGTGTGAGAGAGGTAGAGAGGGATGCAACGCTCTTATATACTAGCTAATGACAGAGGGGAGGGGAAAGGTGGAGGAGGGGAGAGAGGAGGCGAGAGGAAGAACGGGTAGAGGTTAGGTTGGGAGGAGAGAGGGAGGAGAAAGAGGAGGGGAATAGCCCATGGGTGGAGTGAGTGGAACATAGAAGAGGAGGAGAAATGAGGGAGATGATATGAAGGGGGAGATTAGGGGATGGGAGGAGACTCCGAAAAAAATTGAAAAAAGGGGGGTGACGGGGGGATTAAGAAAAAGAGTGTGGGAGCACTGCACACAGAGAAAATGACAAGGGGAGGGAGAGGGGGGCGGTTTATCTTTCATCCGTATATTTTGGGAACATGGACTCATGCAGGCTGCTTCATTTAAGGTGGAACCAGCGGTAACCAGATCGTGACCCGAGAACACATCCCATAGGCTTCAATTAAAAGGTCTCTCAAAGGTTTCCTGTAAGTGACACACTGGGGTGATGGTGATTGGATACAAGCTCATGATCACCTTGTTCAACTTCTGTAACATGGTTGTGTCACTACTGTTGCACTGATGCCCCAACTACAAGACTATAAGTGAAGCTTTTGGAAAAACATTGTCTTTACATTGATTTTCCAATTGAATCTCATCTTTATGAGATTCACCAAAGTGATTGACTAATCTCTTTACATTTTGGCAAAGAGATGTAAATTTGTTGGTTACGTAAGCAATCTAGTGCCTAAGTGCAGTGCCATCATTTCAATCTTGTTTATTTATCAGTTTCCTCATTATTTATGTTCAGACAGCTGGCATTTCTTTACTGGCTTTTGTCCATTCCCCTATTCTAGCCCAGACAGTTCAATATTGACTTTGTATTTAGACTAAAGTGGCTCAATTAAACACACAATCCCATTTCTTTCTTGGCCCTGACCACACTCACACACAGACAGTACATTTTGCCAAGTCATAGCCAATGCACTTCAGTCAAAAAACGATTTCCCATGAAAAAGCAACAAATATCAAAGAAGAGATGGGGAGCGGAAGCTTGAGAAACAAGTTGGACATGAACTTAGAAGAGAGTACAGAGGCTGGATAAGGATTGGATGATCTTTAAGAGAGATAAAAAGAAAGAGAGTGCACATAGGAGTAAGATGGGGAATGAAGCAGGCTAACACTTGACCTTTGCACCATAAAACAAGCTGAATATTGCATTTAACCTGCCTCAAACACTTTTAATAAGATAACATCATGATGGATGCGCAGTATGAGCAGATGAAATACTCACACAAACACAGGATGCTCTTCATTAGCTTGCTAATGAACGTTCCCACAGTGCGCCTAACACAGACAGTGCACACTTCACCAGCACAGGCAGGTTTAACAATAGCAGAGCAACTCGGAGGAGGAGCAGAGATGGTAGAGTCATTAACCCTGTTTCCGCTGCAGAGCCGAGGGGGTCTTGATGGGGTTAGAGCTAACTTAAATTTTACAGCAAATGTAATTACAATAGGAAAAGTGTTTAGGCTATTGCACAGATGGGTGCTCATTCCTGTTGTAAAAAGGACTAAAAGCATTTTTATAAGGGGAGATGACATGGGTAATGAGTGAGCCCTGGTAAGCCTTGTTTGATGCTATAGTGAACACAATGGGACTCAAGGTTTCTCAGACCTGCCTGCCCCTATAGAAACCAGGGTAATGTTGTTAAATGTTTTAAAAGCACTGCACAGCACACTGCTGATTAGTTCATTGTTGTTCATATGTAGTATCCTGCTACAACCAGCCACAACAACAGTTCCCATAACATAATTTTCTTTCCTTTCAACATGTATTCAGTTTATGTAAAGAAAAGATTATGATGGTGACAAATACATTATTCTTGATGGTATGGCCAATGTTTGGCAACTCAAATAGTGGATCAACGTTAAGAAAAGATTAAAGTTAAAGAAACCCAACACTGTCAAAGTCATCCACCACTCCTGGTTGTGCTATAAGAGCATGACACTATCTCCTACTTTGGCACGGAGTTTAAACTTTTCCAAAGTTTTAAGCAGTGACATCAAGCTATAAAAGCAGCAGAGCACCATATGCACAGATTGCCTCTATAGAAGGCTTAAACCCCTGTACCTGGCCGCTTTGTCATTCTTTTTAGGGCTCGATTAAGTAAAATGTCCCATTAGGTTAATAACGTTCATCTGGTTTACAGTCACTATAAGGACTAATGCCGAGGATTTAAAGGTAGTTTGATCTATTCAAATCCACTTTAAACAAAATGTTGCATGGATGTAAACCCTGGTTACTACAGATCATGCTTTCTCACAGGATCATGTATACATTGAAAACAATTAAACAAGAAAACTGCACACAGATCAGTATTTGAAGTGGATGGTATCAGTACAGTACAGTCATCCCCATAAGTTTCCTGCCCATCTTTAAGCTGTGAGTATCCAAATAATAGCAAAAACAAAAAGAAAAAAAATAAATAGTTGACAGTGGAAGAAAAATTAAAAGGTCCTGTAAAGAAAAGGTTTGGATAAGGATTCAAATGAAACAACCTTCCAACTAACAACCAAAGCATTGATGTGTATAGAATGATGAATGAATAAATAACTGTAAACTGCACTTTGGTCAGGTTTCAATGTCCCATTCCCGTGTGACAAGAGTACTGGTTTTGAGTCCCATGAAGATATAATTTCTAAAAGATGGGCCCTCCCACGGGCCCACCAGTCAATTTCACTGTATTAAAACATTTGATCAATTGCTTGTATTGTCAAAAATGGCCAATGGCCAAAATCAGCAGCAGAGAGAACAAAGGAGATTTGTGGGCCACCGGATAATGATATCAAACACTAACAATAGAGAGTGTGCTATAGCAGGAAACCTCAGACACCCTGCCAGTCCTTTGTTCTGTCAAATGGTCTATTCCAGTCCCCATATGCTCACCTCTCCACATGCTTAATGATCACAGCTTAGCAGCCCCCATCCAAACACACATGCTCACAAACACACCAAGACAAGCTCCACCCCTTAATGGTACGATAATCTGGCCCTCTAAATGACATTTAATGCATCATCCACGTGAATAAAAGGGGGACACCCACCCCATATTCGCTACCCCGCGCATACACACACACACACACACAACTTGGAGGGACACAACATACGTACAATCTCTCTCATGTGTAAATCATGTTTCAGGTCAAAATTGAAGACCGCAGCTGTGGTCTGAATAGCATTAATTTTAAATTAGTTTAAAATCCTTTCAGTCAAATTTAGAATATTCAAAATTGCACTATAAATATAATGGGCAACTCCTAGGTATGAACTTGCCAAACTGTATGCTGAAAAATGGTTTGAGTATTCTGCAAACCCTCCTTGTATACCAGGTTTAAAAAGGTGCAAGTTATTTTATGTTACAAGCTGAATGATTCTGCCTTAAAAGATCATAACAAAGCAAACGTACGCTGATACCTTGGGAAGGCAGCTTTGTTTAGTGGAAAAGTAAAAGAGTGGAAATTGCAGGTATTTTCCTGTCTCCTTCAGTTAGACTGATAAACTGAGGGAGGAAATGGGCAACATGCCAGTCTAAATAACCTACAGAGAACAACAAAAAACTCCACAATCACACAAATCATTCTGTATATTAACATTACTTTCACTCACAGGTGTCCGCACACGTATCTACAGGTAGACATACAAACACGTGGAAGGTTGTTTACATAGGGGAGAGTATTTGTCTGCCAGCCATCTAATCAGTCTGACCCCTCCAGACTGATATAAGCCTAACTAATCCCCCAACCCATCTCTGTAAATACTGCACAGTTAGGGGTCGGGTTAGTGCAGCAGCCTTTTCTTTCCCAAGGTTCTTTCTAGTGTAGTTGGTAAAAAGGATTCCTGTCCAGGGATTTAATTCGCAGGATGGAAATTAGCTTGCTGATCCAGTAATGGTAGCATTTTACCCAGATAAGTAGAAATAAATATATTATTAGTTAATAGTCAAATACATTCTGATGGAAACCATATATAGACATCAGACAGACCAACACAGCTTTCACTGTTTACAGAATGTTTCCCCAATTACTTGTTAAGCTATGAAAATAAAAATATTTTCTGTTTTAGTCTTAGAAAAGGATCCTTTTATATTGGTCTGGTTCAAGAAGTCCTTCCATGCCATAGATTGTTAAAAATCAAAGTATTTTGTTTTGATATAAGAGATATAACTCTGTGCTAGGTTGTAAATATCCAAAATTCAGTGTGATGGGGAAATGTACAGTACATTCCCAACAAACTCACAAGTTATTAGTAATATTCACATTTTATACAGAAATACTGAAAGCGTGCCTGGAAGAGATAAGCTTATAATCAGAACCCTTTATCTCCTGTCTGAGCTCAGTCACTGTTTATAACTGCTCGCTTTCACAGTGGAAAATATTCCTCCCTGTTTGCCAGCCAACCAGACAGACAGAGATAGATAGACAAGCACACTGGGAGACAGATAGCTCAGCCCAAACGACTGTCCATCTGAAGAAAGATAAACTGAGAGAAATGTGGCTTCAGCTACACAGAGACATGAACACGCAGGTGCACACACACACACACACACTCACAGACCACAAATGTACACACAAGTGCTTAATGTTTGAGTCAAGTCTAGGTCAGTCAAAGAGAGGCATTTTAAGAGCAAAGTGTAACGTTGCCTCTGAGACAGACAGTACACACATTTCAGAAAGACCATTAAGACGTTTGGGATCAGCTGCTCTTAATCATTCCTTCCGCCCCCTATTTGGAAGCAGAATGATAAACACTCGAATCATTGATCTCTCCTTTTTTGTAGCACCACCCTCAGGCATACATTTGCATTTGTACACAATGAATCAAAATCTAATGAGCAGATTGTTGTGAACTTTACTGGGCACATTCATCCTCCCCTGAGCTTGAATTTTCCTTTAGCCCCAGACTGAGAACAAACTTTAGACTGATCGGCCCATAACTGGAAAGACCATGAGATGAGCAAAATCCTCACCGTGATGTTCACTTAAATATGATTAAACTGTGGGTTGGATGTTCAACCTAAAATATTCTGTGTCCTAGTCCCACACTGCAGTACACAATGTCTATCTGTGTTTTGAGCTTGTTGTGCATTAACTTTCTTTTTATCTACATGCTTGTATACATAGGCAGGAGCAACAGCATGGCAGGCTGTGAACTTTACAAGCCGAGCCGTGTCTCAAAATGACCAAACTAAACTAACTGTGATGGAAACAGAGAGAGGGGTAATGGACGAGGCTGCAGGACTCGTTTCTGTCCTCTGCTCCAACACTCTCAGCTCCAGTGCTGACTGTCATTGAATTTGGCTAAATTACTTTTGGACCAGATGTCAGATACCTCCTCTACTGCCGTCCGGTGTAATTTGGCTGACAGCGCTATCAGCAACCCGGCAGGAGAGGCACTCCGAGGTTTGCTGGGATGTAATAACTGAACTATGAGCAGGACGCACACTTGCTGTAAGAGTTAAGTGTCTGCATGGGTCTGACACTAACTGGGCATTCCTCATTCGGGGACATCCCTAGTTGACTGAAACTAGCCCAAATAAGTTACACAAAGATGACAATATGGCTGTTGCAATGCATAAAAGAAATGTAGCAGCTACATGCAGCTGGAAAAATTCTAACAAATTGCGGGCAGTGGTGAGACAGCTCCAGCAACATCTTGGAAAACAAAAAATAAATTATTAAATCTTTGGAAAAACATTTTGCTTTCTGGTTTTTTAGTTTCCAAATTTGAAATTGGCAGTAGCTTTCCAACGTATGATTGACATCTACTGGCACACATCTAGAATCATTTCCAATAGACAAAACAGTAAGGTACACAGTTTTTATGTACACTAACTGCCAAAACAACATGGCAATTTGAGTGTATTTTAAAGTGTTATTGTAGTAAGATTGGTCAAGTCAAGAAATATAATTTAAACCATGGCAGTGTGACTAAAATCAATTTTCACACTGATGCAGCTCATAATGCCTTCTGTAACAAGTGCTGATTATATCAAAAATACTCTTATGTGTGATATTGCCAACAGTCTTCTGGCTTGATAGCTTGTCATAACTCCTCATGATAGATATGCCTCTTTCAGACTGCATTCATTATATCAGCCTCAGTGTCATGACACAGGCTTTGGTGGATAATGAATTATGCATGGATGATGTGCTTCATATCCCTTTTTTGGCAAATGTGCACCCATAAACCCATAAGAATAAACAAGACACAAGACACACACACTTCATGTTTTTTTGTGCTCTGAGTTAACTTCAGTGCCTTCCCAGTGCTTTTACTTCTTTCCCCTCACATATAGAGCAGCTGTTCTGCAGAAGGAAGCTGAGAAAAGACATTAGCACAGGATATGAAGAGAAAGAGATGAAGTGGAGCAGATAAGATCACAGAATGGTGGGGAGAAGAAAAGAAAGTGATGCTAAAGAAAGAATTATGATTCAAATTAACCTATGTTTAATCAAGTGCTGTAGTGTGTGTGTGTGTGTGTGTGTGTGTGTGTGTGTGTGTGTGTGTGTGTGTGTGTACACTTGCCATTGCAGCCTATATATCAGTGACCAGAGGCAGAGCTTTAGTATCAGCAGGGTCTCAAGGGGAGATCAAAGCATCTGCTCCATTCAGCACGTCTAAAGCATGACCAAACATCAATACTACCTCGCCCCCTCACACACACACACACACACACACACACACGCACACGCACACAAACACTCTCATCCTACACATCTCTCTCCCTCTTTCTCTCATATGTGGATGTATATATCTGTCTTCCACTTTCAGTAAATTTAACCTAATTTCAACATTATTTTCTTTTCACCTATCCCATGCCATTGAACTTGCATTTGATCTTTAACTCACATTAATGATTTTTATTTTTTTGATATCGTACAGCAGCACAGATCAAATGTGTTTAACACCAGTTTTAACAAATACACCGAATATATAGAAGAGGAAAATCAGGGACTGCGTAACAGTGGCACTTGAAATCCACCAAAAAATGGGATTTCGAGCTTTTTCTTAAAAATCTATTACAGTTGCTACATATTCTTTTAAAAGGGTTTTGTAGACATTTCCTAACCAATTAGAATACCACCATAGAGCTGATATTAGCCTTGTATACAGCCGCATAAGCGAATTTAACTACTGAATTTTGTAATAAAAGTAAAAAAAAAAAAAAAAAAAAAAGAAAATTAAAAAATTAAAAAGAAAGAAAAGAAAGAAACAAGAAAAACCAGCTGATAACCACAAAATATCATCAAAACCAACTACAACCAGTGTCCACCAGTGTTACTCACCGTGTCGTTGCGCAGAGTGCTGCTCCTGGTCTGCGTCCTCTCCGGTGTCCTGGGACAATGTATAAGACATTCGCCTCCACTGATTGAGCTCTTTGTGAGATAGGTCCGTCAGTAATGGAGCAACGTCATTACACACCCAGCCGGGAAGTGGGGGAAATTATTTTCTCCTGACTGCAAAGGTATTTTTGAGCGTAAACGCACTTATTAATATTACTTATTATGATAAGGAAAGAAAACCCTTCACAGAAAACCTATTACTCGAGGGACTTATTGCCAACTGTAGTGTGACTGTGTTGAGGTTAATAAACCGTGTTATACCCTGAAGTGAAATAGAAGATTGTGCGAAATCTCCTTTTAGAAATTATAAATGTCCACATACAGCACGGTAGCCTACAAATCAAACCCCGGACCTGTGAGTGCGCTCGCACGCATGCGTAGGCGGGGTCGGTCAACTAGGCTATAGAGCATCACCCTGCACTGGCATGATGAGCTTGTCACAATAAAAATGGTCGCATCCGTCCACATAAAAGCAGAGGAGCTCCCTGCCAGGTATTACTGACATCAGGCGCCTGTTATGCCTGTTAACTGGTTATTATGTATCTCCAGTTTCAGCCTTGGTTTCCCTGCCTGCCTTATGCTTCCCTGCATGGTGATGTAATCTCTCTCTCTCTCTCTCTCTGACACACACACACACACAGTCACACACTCATGCACATCTGTCTGTCATGAAGCTGTTGGGGGCATGGACTGAAAATCATTGAGAGGATCTATTGTTTTATTGGAGTTTCTTGACAGTCTCTCAAACACCAGCTGCAATTTAGCATCAGCTGGATTTTTAATGAGACACACAGAAGGCCTGTATTAGAACAAACTCACATACAAATAAGAAGCTAATAAAAAAACAGTATCAGTATGATGACACTGTATACTAATATGATCATTATAGGCTATATGATATCTTCTAACATTTCTGAAATGTCAAAAGCAGTTGTCTGGATGTTTGGGGTGACAGGTGCATCTTAAATGACGAACAAACTGTATTTTCTTTCTGCATGAGCGTGAGTTATTGTGACATTTTGCTCTTTTCTTTCCATTCCAAAATTACTTCACTGTTGGGGTGGGGGAAAGTAGAAGAAAGAAAGAAAGAAAGAAAGAAAGAAAGAAAGAAAGAAAGAAAGAAGCTGCACCGTCTTTCACATTTGTACTTCCCAGCAGAGAAATATGATTCACTACAGCCCTCTAGTGGCTGTTGTCGTTGTATACTGAACATACTTCATAATGCATACTGCTCATTGATTTGAAATATTAAGTATTGTAACCCTTTTTCCTTCCTTGTTTGCATTCGTCCTTCTGGTCTGTGGGTAATAAGAAGGCTACAGTTTCTTTTTGAATAATCTTCTTTAATCAACACCAACAGCGAGACAGTGAGAACACCCATCTTCACTTTCTCTGGGTTCACAGAAGATCCCCCTCTCTACTGTTGCTACTGTTGCACGTTACCTTAAGTTTGTCACACTCACTGTCCATCATAAAACAAGGGCTTAGGACGGAACTTAAATTACTCTCAGACAAAGAGGACATTACACATTTAAGTGTAGCCATTTACAAGACCCATAGCAGATGTACTTTGTAGAATATTTTTTGTTGGTTTGTGTTTTGCTACATAGCAGTTATGCAGACTGAACTTTTGCATGTTGCAAGTTTATTCATGTTAAGTGCATGTAAAAACATTGTCAAAGTACCAAGAGTTCATACACAGTGGCTCTCTTCAGCTGGCCACAAATGACTAACGAAAATAATTTATAAACTGTCCCAGTAGCACAAAGGAAATAAAAGCAATACATGAAACAGCAGCAAACAGCATCTTGAGATAAAGAAGAAAACACTTTTGTTAGCTGTCACACTACTGTGAAAGAAAGTGAGAGAGGAACATGTGGCACCCTGGACATTTTATTGTTTATTATTATCCTTATAATCATTATTGTATTAGTCTGTGTAAATGCTTTTATTTAAAACGATTTGTGTCACTTGTGAAACACAGAACTGATCTGTTGCTCAGAAGTTGCTCTAGTGTGATGTCCATTTTAACCAGTAGATGGCAGTAGCGACTTTGTTATGGTGGCAGTGTAATTGCAGCCATCCAGCTTGTGTTCAAGCTAAGTGTTAAAGTGATTAATCATGTCAAAGGTCACACTGAAACCCATATAACAGTACTCCCCCATGTCGACTCTTATCTGTTTAATTTGACATAATTTGAAAATTATCATATTGATAAATAATAATATAAACAAAAATAACCCATAGCACTAAACATGGCTCATAAAATAATCAAACAGGTGACCTTCAGTGAACAATGTCATGTGCATTCAACTTCAGCCTCACAGTGTTCAAATATGCTTTCTTACTTTCGTACTCTCACTTATTTCCTCTAGCACTGAAATATTGGACAACAAATTGAAGATTCAAAGCAGAGTTACATCAAAATAAAACATTCTGTCCCATTAGTATGAATCATCTTGTGGTGTAGACCTAAAACTACTATATACTACTGCGTGTCAAAAACATTTCATGAAGGGAAACTAAAAGAATATATTTTTTTTAAAGAAAATAGTCAAGATATACTCTTGTACAATAATGTTTATTGTTAATCATGGGACTCTCAGACTGTCACTGAATTGTTTGATGTGGACTAGTCATACCTGACATTACACATAATTTATTTACCATTGCCTGAATTTATTTTTTAACCATACTGTAATTTTGATGCATGTGTGTGTATCGAAGAAATAAACAATTTGATAAATATTGGCATCGAATGTGCTGAAGTAATCCCTGAATGTAATCTGGGGTTTTGCAATCAGTAAAATATCAGTATAATCATTGAGTGCTCTTGTGCCAAACCATGGATTCAGAATATTTAATCAGCACACAAACTAACATGAGTGCTACTCCGACATTTCCTCACCATTGTTGCCCAATTATGTTTGTTTGTTGTATAAAACCAGCAGATGCATCAAATGTTAAAACACAACTGATACAGACATTACACCAGATAATGGATCACAAATTTGAATCAAGTCAGGATGCCACATTGGCCTTTTAGAGCTTCTTTTGTACTTACAGTGATTGCCGCTGTATAGTGCAAGTTGGTCTTACTTGAAGGATTACAATAATTAGGAATAATTAGTCTGTTACGATGAAGAGGAGTTTCCATTCACTGACTGGAGGGATTTGTTGTAGGTCTAAAAATAAGAATACAAAGTCTTCTGTAAACATCTTTGGTCACATGTGCATATAAATCTACTGTACTGCTTCCTTCCTTTATTGGGATTTTGAAGCATACACTCACTCATATCACTGGCAACAACACTGTAGTGTTCACGAGCAACATTAATAGTACAATTAAGTTTTTTTATATGAATAGGAATGGATCAAGGGAACATTTGTCACAAAGCAATATCAACATAATGAGCAAGACATATTAAAACGAACATTTAAAAAGTTTGTCGTTTTTTGACAGATTTGACCGTGCCTCACTTTTTCATTATACCACTGTCTCCCTGACAATGAAAAGATGGAGAGGTTCATACAGCTTAAGGAACAACTACCAAAAGATTAGAATTTAAATATATATATATATATATATATATATATATATATATAAATATATATATTTTTATGTTATTTTCCCCAGTAGCTAGTAGTGTAACTAAATACTAATACATTTCAGTTATAATATTACAGTTACAACATGCTACTTTTATTGGCACCCCATGGAGGAAACTAGATGGAAACATAATATATTCAGAGTCTGGAAATATTCCCATTACTTTGGTTTTAACAAAAAAAAATTAATTCTGGGGAGAAGGGCCACAATTATCAGTTTTGTAGGGAGTAGCAGAAAAATGATATAACTAGTAGTATAACTAATTACTGTTGGCAGGGAGCAATAAGTAAAGCAATAATATTACTTTTAAGAAGAGTAATGAGTAATAAATTACATTTTCTGATTATCTAGCCCAGCACTGCCCCTAACTAAACTGGTCTAATTCCAGATCTAAATGTCCTCTCTTCAGTCTCCAGCAGACAATCCATGAAGTCGACCTAAAATAACTCAGATATAAACATTTCAATTCAACACTTTATATCACAGTTTCATGGCCTTTAGCTTGAATTGCTAAACTAAGAATTCAGTCTGTCAAGCTTGGGCCTCAAGCTTCTGAAAATATGTTGTTACACTTGTCATTTTTGAGGGATCTAACAAAAATATGTGGCAACCCATGCTGCCCCTCAGGGCATCCCTGTCCCTGCCAAAGTCTGACAAACACACTGCACACTACATACCACAACCAGATCCTATTGTTTCATTTGCTACTAACTTTTCTTCTGCACTCCATTTATCTAAACAACAGAGTGGCTTAACTTTTTTTTTTTTTTTTGCTGTACAGGATGAGAAATAAGCACAGAAACAGATCATTTCAGTTGTCCAAATTCAAAACAAGTCTAGGCCTGTAGAGAAGAGCGTGGTGTTCTCTGAGGTCTGAAATTACAATAAATAACACACCTTCAGTGAAAAAGAGATAATTATTGTCCAGCAAAGTCCAGCTGGTCAAGAGAGTAGCTCCACTGCCTCAAAGACTTCTGTTGAGAAGTTTAGGCTGACAAAAACATTGTTCTCAATCGACTCAACGCTATCCTCTAAGCAGACACTGTCGTGGCTGATGAGGCTGCTTTCAGACGTGGGACTGATGACAATTATGCGTGGAACACCCTGAGGTGACCTGGGATCACTAGATGTGATTTTTCCGAAATTCAGTGAATCAAAAGAGTCGCTCCTGTGGCTGCCCAGCCTGTCACAGATGCTGCCTTTCTCCTCCCCTGCATCTGAACTCTCATTTGTCAGACTCTGGCTGCGTCTCCTGGTAAGAACTAGCAGGGGGAGAGTGGCGATGGTGAGAGAGCTGGAAACCAGTTCATGCTCACAGTTGCTCGATGATTCATTCATGGTAGATGAATGCTGGCAATTTAAATGAAACACAAATACACAAGAACAAAATGATATGCAAAACATGAAAACATTCAATCAAATAAAATTAGCATGAGCCAAACACCTCTAAGCACCCATGGAAAATAATATCAGTTTTATCAATAATGATTTCACACTTTTTTACGTTGTGTTTTCTCACCTTCTCTGCTGTGTAGGTCTTGGTGGTCTTCTGCACTAACTGTTTCTTGTAAGACTTACGTCTGCAAGACTGACTGTACAACGACATGCTTCTGAAGGAATCACCTGACTTCCTTCCCAAAGGCTCCATCTCTACATCCCTTAATACCTGCAGGACAGAACAGAACAAATGTGAGCTGAACTGAACCACACTAAAAGGAAATCATTCAAGGTTAACTTACCTCGGACCAGCATGTAATTTAACTTCCTTTGATTGATTCAACTAAAAAACTTGGAACAACTTTAATTTTCACAGATGCATAAGATGATGTTCACACACACATTATCTTACAAAGAAGAAAATATTAAAATAATTTGAGCATCAAGGTTTCAGTTGCAGCAGAAATAATCTCATGAATGCTAAGTAAGTGCAGTAAGAGAAGATTATGTGTTATATCTTGGATTGAATTTAGCTTTAAAGGACCAGTGTGTAGTGTGCAGGACTTGATCTGGAATTACCCAAAAGCATATTATCCACTTGCTGTACACTTCATGGTCTTAAAGGACCGGTGTTTAGGATTTAGTGCCATCTAGCGGTGAAGTTGCAGATTGCATGCAGACTAAGCAAAGGAGAAACTACAGTGGCGTGAAAAAGGCCCCATCTAGATCCAGTGTTTTGTTTGTCCATTCTGGGCTACAATAGAAAGATGGCGGTTCAATATGGCCAACTTTTTTCTTAAAAATCAATTTTTTATCACATATTATGTTAATGCATACAGCCTTTGCAATATCCTAGTCCTACCCCAAGCACATTTCTGGAGGAACAATGTGTAAGGTATGTGCATATTGATGGATTATTTCACTTTCAAGTCAACCATTTCAACTGAATGCAAAAGTTGAATAAAGAAAAACATAAAAAATGAATACATGGGAATAAATGTTACAAAATATTTAAATAAAGATCTAGTATATATTAATTTACACCAAGTAGTTAATTGATGAAGAGTTTAGATAACAAGTATGTACAGTAGGTTTCTTCACAAATTGTTAATAGAAGACTGTAATAAAGACTTAAAGGTCCAGTGTGTAGGATTTAGTGGCAATTAGCTATGGTGCATGCAAAATGCACAAAAGATGCAAACACCCCTATCTACAGCCATTGTTTGGTTTGTCCCTACTGGGCTACAGTAGAAACATGATGGTTCAACATAGTGGACTCTATGGAAGACACCCCGCAGCGTATGTAGATATATAAATGGCTTACTCAAGGTAACAAAAACATAACAATCCTATATTCAGGTGATTATACATTAATGAAAACAGAGCTGCATATTATGTTACATAATATAATTCTCATAGTTTCTTTGAATCAGCCAATACGAGTCAACTCATAGAGCAAAAAGAAAGAACAGCTAGAAATTACCATGTCAGTGGAAGTTGTAATAAAGTGAGTCCTTGATGCTGTGGACTGTCTGCTAATGATGGAGTCCCTGTAAGAGGACTCACTGATGGAGGAGGAGGAGATGCATTCTTTCCGAGGAGTGGGAGTCAGAAACCTCAGGCAGGGAACCTTCTCTGCCAGAGTCTTCCTAATGAAGTACACCACAAGTTGGATATGATGATATAATACAAGATGATAGACTGTAAAGGTAAAACAAAAAATTTTTTTCACTGATTTTAATCATTTACCTGTATTTGTTGTGTATAATAGCATAGATAAAAGGATTGTAAATGGCAGAGGCTTTTGCTATTACTGCGGGGACAGCCTTGGAGTATGGTGTCAGGATGTCGGCGTGCCTGAAAAAGACAGAACGACAGAATAGTATTTTTTAGTTTTAGTGTGACAACACATATCAAAGTAATCTTTTTTCTATATTTTGTAATAGAATGAAGGGGCGTATTGGGTCAGGGATTAGCCAAAATGTGCCAGCTGCCACAGATGGGTGATTAAGTCCATCTGATCGTGTGTGTGTGTGTGTGTGTGTGTGTGTGTGTGTGTGTGTGTGTGTGTGTGTGTGTGTGTGTGTGTGTGCAAGACTACCTTTCCCCTGTGAATGAGCAGGGAAAAAGATTTCAAAGTTACATAACAACATCCCCGTCCTACTGTATGTCCCAGTAGAGAAATGTGGTTTAGTTAATGTTGTGATACGTTGGATAAGCAAAGGGCAGATGAGCAACTTCACCATCTGTTCTATGTCACTCATCCAGGGTACTTGGCCTCTAGCTAAAACAAAATTATATAACACATTGAACACCATTTGGGGGAGATTTTGATCCAAATTGCCAGAACAACCACTCTAACAAGTGCCATGTTACTGTATACCTGCTGAATCTGGATTTCCTCAGTGAATTATTTGATGTATCTAGATACATTTTTATATATATAAATACATATTTTTAAAGAAGCAGGAAGATAGAAATATGATTAAATTTAGCCCTGAGGTATAGTACAATGTTGTGCAAGATGAGAAAGAATGTTAATATTATTTTTGGAATCTTATTTGTTTGTATTGAAAATAAATTTTCTCACTATGTGTCTTACAGTGTTTACTGTACATATACAGAGCATGCACTGGTTACATTGTCCTTAACTTTATTTTAACAATACAGGGTCACTATATGTATTCAAAAGTAGCTGGTTGAAATCTCGAGAGCACTGTTAACAGGGGTGCTACTGTAGACAGAACATGTATAAGATAAACTCATACTAAAAGCCTTAGAACATCTATCTATGAAATAAGTCTTACCCGGCCCAGGAAATCATTGTGACACAGGCATACGGTGACCAGGAGAGGACATAAACCACAATGACGACAAAGGCAATTTTAGCCAATTTCCACTCGCTCCTGATGGACTTCTGCTGGATCAGGGTGGATTTCCTCACCTGAGTCCCCAGACGTTCCACTTCCCTGCAAGTGGAGCAGTACAGAGGGAGCAGTTAAAGAGAAACCTAGTCCCTGAAACAAATTCAGGTTATTCATGTTATACTGGACAGTTAAAGTAATGTTTTGTTTTAATTAAACCAATATCTGCCCAATAAAAAATGATTTAAGGCTTTTTTTTTTATCTTAATATTCTATTTATATTCAATTTCTGCAATTTTCTGCCAATAGAGCCCCCTGAATCTTACAAACAACCTTTATTTCACTTCTTAGATATACCATTCTCACAGTGGGGACAGTAGTTGGGGGTTTGTATGGCTATAGGCGTGTGTGTGTGTGTGTGTGTGTGTGTGTGTGTGTGTGTGTACATGAACTGTACAGATGTATTTCTTCATCAGAACAATTGCTTTTGTCTGAAACAGTTCGTCCCTAGGCAGGCATGTAGGGATGTATTACTCAGTATTATTTCGACACAGTTTGTTCCAGCTACTTACAGTACATACCACGCATACTACATTTTTGGGGGTAAAAACAATAACAATAAATAGTAATGCTGCCCCCTAATGGTCGACTAAACAGTCTTAGTCTACACACTTTTCATTAGTTGGATTGTTACAGAAAAACAAAAACAACATGCTACATCACTGGGACGAGAGTATCAGGGAATTGTTGCAAAACAAACAGGGAGTCACTTAGATTGTGCATGTGTTAACTGTACTAACTGCCATTAGCTACTTAGCAGTCCTATTATCTCACTTTACCCATACTGGGAACTCGAAGGGAAAGGGGAGAGGTTTGTTTACACTACTAGCGTAGGAGCAGAGGGGACGCAGCAGGGAATACTATCAGGGACCAGGGCCAGAATAAGCAACAGAACTGGAGCCAGGCGAGCACACAACAGAGAACTAGGCTCACAGTCTGCAAGATTAACGAGCCAGCAGATTTACTGTGGCTCCGACCAGGACTCTGACTCCAGAAATTACAAAGACACGGTGGGTTCAGGCAGAAACTAGAGATGCATGAAATAAGAGAGCAGCAAGTTTGTAGCTAGTTAATTTGTAACTGTGGAAGTTAAATGCGAGTATTTGTTTTTATGAAGTTGGAAGTTATTTATTCTGTGTTTGAAACAACAAGACTTGTGTGTGTGTGTGTGTACTGTGTTCAAATAAATTAAGTAAATAGTCCATCCTTACTGGTTGTTCTTACGTATTCAGAATCATTACCACTTTCTCCATTAGCATTTATTAGGAGTTTAGGCATTTATTGGGGTCAGCCCTGCAACATAAGGAAAGTCTACTGCTGGGAGAACATACAGTAAGTAAAAAAACAAAAGTGGAGAAAGACAACAAAGAAGCAAATCATACAAAATACATTTCTGGTGCAGTGGTATTTTTAAATTCTTTGCATGTATCTCCGCCTACACAAGCACAAAAATAAAAACATAAAGTGCAGTACCTGCTTGTCTTCCGTATAGCCAGAAACATGAAGAGATAGCAGTAAAAGATGATTCCTAGTGGAATGAAGAAAACAAAACAGCATAGCATCATCGTGTAGCTCCTATTGGCCAGTGTGTATGTGACATAATCCCATGTACAAGATGTCATCAGGCCCTCCGGAATATAGGAGCCTAGAAGGAGAAAAGATCAAACATTAGATCATTTTTTAGATCACAGGAAGTAAGATATCATGTAAAACATCAATGGTTCTGCATGCTGTTTTACATTAAACTGTACTTGTTTTGATGTAAAGTCTGTGGAGCAGTAGATTAAGGTCACAGATCAACAGCACAACAGCAGGTGGATAACTATCTACAGCCGGTAAACAAAAACAGATCATTTCTGCTCTACTCTAGATGGCATGTACAGTAGGCTAGAAATCATCAAGAGTTCTGCGGCAAGTGAAGGAGGTGATAGAAAAAGACGTCCAGGTAGAGGAAACTCACTCCAGCCAACTAGTGGAGCCAGACTCCAAGCCAAAGAGTAAAGCCAGACTATGAGGATGGCCAGAGTGGTCCTACGTTTGGAGCTCCAGTGTATGGCCTGCAGAGGCTTGGTGATAACCAGGTAGCGGTCGATAGAGATAGCCAGGAGGTTTATCATGGAGGTGATGCCAAACAGGGCGCCGCAGAACGCGTACATCTTACAGCCTACAGCGAAGGAGCACATACAGACATATAAATGACTCAACAGCAGCAGGTAAAACAACAGAATTGTATCTAATTTGTTTTTTATTCTAATATATAGGATCTGTCTTTGAGTGTATTGTATTAAAAAACAAAGAGGAGAATTACCCATCTCTCCAAACACCCATTCTTTGTATAGACAGTTGATGAAGAAGATGGGGGACTGTGTGAAGGCCATGAGGAAATCACTGACCGCCAGGTTCATAATGAAGTAGTTTGGCAGGTTACGAAGCTTCTTGTTACTACACACACACACACACACACACACGCACACACACACACACAGACAAAGAAGGGCATGACAGCAGATATAGCATCCTCAATTCTTCTTCAATAATAGCAGCAAGAAAAAACCAGCTGAGACACAGGACCGTGACAGACAGGGTGAGATGGAAAAAGAACAGACAGACTCAGAGATTGAGAAAGAGGAGCCCCCCCGATCCCTGGCCCGAGTGGACCATCAGGAACACCAACTCTTTCACACACATGGCTACTCCAGTGTTGTTACCTTCTCTGATATTTTCCATTAGTTTCTTCTGTCTATGTTAGGGTTAGCTTGGGACATTTCTACTTCTTTGTACTGTGTTTATTTTACCTGCAGGAACAAGACAAAACATTTCTGGATACACTGAATTCCAAAGAATATGAAGTTATGTGTTTTGTGTGCCTAAAATAACACTTAATTAGACACTCTTTTATGTTCATATAATAATGATTTCTGAGCCACCCCAAAATGACCACTGGTCCCGGCCTGGCTCCACTTCTGACTAGAAGGAATGTTGCATCTGTTGTTTAATACGTTTTATAATTCAAGAAATACCTAATATGATAGTGATCTTACTTAGGGGAAGAGATAGTTTACTTGTATGTCTCAGTTCATTGCATCTTGTTTTAATGCATAACTCAATATACAATATCGTTAAATTGTCAGCATTAATCACATATGAGGTCTTTCCTGAACTGGTCAACTCAGTACGAACCTGCATATTCATACCAGCTTGGTTAAGCAGGGTACTGACCTGCAGTCTGCCTCCAGAGCTCTTTATTGATTAAACTCTGTTCTATATCTCCTGAATTCAAAGTAGCTGCGACCTGATTTAACACAAACTATTTCTTATGCCTAATACGTTACACTTATACATTCGTATCTGCTTCTGAACGTCTATCTATGTGTGCATGTGTGCATATTACAACAGCATTTACTGTCAATTTCTAGATAATCATCATATCAGCTGACATCTCACTTAAAACAGAATCAATCCTCTCTCTCTCTCTCTCTCTCTCTCTCTCTCTCTCTCTCTCTCTCTCTGTGTGTGTGTGTGTGTGTGTGTGTGTGTGTGTGTGTGTGTGTGTGTGTGTGTGTGTGTGTGCGTGTGTGTGTGTTTGTTTGTTTGAGTGTGAATAACTTTTCTTGGAACCGATAACATCATGTGCATTTCTGAATCAGTAAACACAAATTATCAACAAAACACAATGGAGAACCCATCTAATCTATTTACAATGATGGACAGATGGACTATAAAAGCTCCTGACAATCCCCAGAACAAATATACACACACTACCACACACACACTTTCTGTCACTGACCCAGTTTCTGTGTAACAGTTAACACCAATAGCACAATAAGAGGTCAGTTTCACAATGCATAACACATATACTCCTTCCTTGACTTAAGAAAGGAAGTTTACAATTTAAGAGTCACTCATATCATGGTACTTTTTACAATAGTAAAAAAGATTGTCCTTTATTTTTGACATTACTTGTTGCTTGTGATGCTAAATAGACGGTACTTTTGATTATAGTGAAATGCACAATACCTTTATGCAGCTATCAGTCACAACTGTTTGTTTCAGTTGTTTATACATAAATAATATATGTTTAGCATATAAATAGTAGCTGTTTTAGCAGTTTGTCCTGAAAAACCCAAACTACAGAGTACTTGAATGGACACATTTGACCAAATCTAAAAATAAACCAGGTAAACCAATATAAAGGCAAAAAAAAAAAGAAAGATAAAAAAAACATAGTCATATCTTTTAATTACTCTGTTGCAATTGAAATCCTGCAATTTTTACTAAAGTAAAAAAGTATTAACATCAAAATGTATTTAAAGTACTAAATTATTTTGCACTATGATCCATTTCAGAATAACATATATCATATTATTGAATCATAATTATTGATGCTTTAATATGTTAATCATATTAATGCTGCAGTTTCCTCTTATTTTCTGTATTCTGCTGGATAGGGATCAATCAAGTCTGACATTAGCCGATATTAATACATCATATTTATATAAATATTATATTTTCAATGATTAATTAATTATTATCAATTATTATTATTAATTATTATGAATCTGCAGTGGAGTAAAAAATACAATATTTGCATCTGAAATGTGGTGGAGTAGAAATATAGAGTAGCATAAAATGGTTATACTCACAAAACCTAAAGTACCTAGTCACAAGTAAATAAAAATGATACTTAAATACAGTACTTGAGTAAATGTACTTTCCACCACTGCTATTGCACCTGCTATACATTAGTATATTTGCACCAAAAAAGCTGGGGAAGTTTACATAATGTTCAAAATGGAACCTTTTCAATACTTCACACTATTTCTCCACAATACTGGAAAGAGTTGCTCCTGGGATTCTACTTTATTTCCATGCATCTAAGAAGATCTTTTTGGTTACTAAGAGGCGAAGATTATTTTATCCATAATCGCCAGCTTTTTGGAATCCCCCACTGATCCTCTAGACAGTAAAGAACATCACAAATACTGACCCTCATTCTACAGTAAATTTAAGACAGCAAAGACCTCTCAACTTTAACTGAGAGACTTCCTAGCTCCTGAATTAGAAATATACATTTATTTCTAACAACAAAAGCCAGGAAAAAGAACACATATTTGCACACATATAGCATTTTGGTATATATCATGTGTTATGACTCAGTCTTTTTGTCTGTCTCTCTCTAAGATCATATAATCTCTGAGTGATTATAACATCTTCTTAGGTTTCTGATTAAAAATGGAAATGGCTAATGCAGTAATAAGAAACTAAAGAACCGACACAAACAAAGACTTAAAGTACAAATCTGAAAACAAAAACCTACCTATAGATGGCAAACAAAACCAGTGCATTGCCAGTGATGCCCAGTGCCCCGATGATAAAGACGAATAAGGCGATAATGTAGTGAGCATGGTCAGGCACATCCACCTTGCTGAAGAAGCTGCCCTGGGTGTGTGCTTTCTCTGGCTCCATGCTCTCAGTGGACCACATGGTTCAAACACCTCATCAGGACTGCCAACCTTGCAGGATGCAGTAGGTTTACCAATTTGTAATCCACTTTGTTTTGATGGTGTCGGGCATTCATTGTAGTATCATTTATACATAGGATGCCAGGGAGATTATGCAGTATCTTCTTTAGATTGCACTACATTAAAGTCTAAATTGAAAGATCCACTTTACTTCTCAAGAGAAGTCCTTCCCACCATAAACCATCCATTCAGTTCTAAGTAATAAATATGAAGGACTAGGTGATCTCCACTTTGTGAAGATGTTAAAATGTCAAATCCAATTAAGTCCATTTACTATTTACTTCTGAAGAAAAAGCTGGAAAAATTAAACGGGTATAAAATGGCAAATGTTACAAGTTGTTAATGTTACATTATTCAGATAATATCTGCAATACAATGTAGTACATGAAAAAACAGTTCCTCTTTACTTCTTAGTCCAGTAGTGTTAGATGCTAAATGACGTCCACAGCCGTTCACACGTTGGTTATCTCCAGATGTACTTCAGAAGCATCCATTCTGCTATTCCCCTCAGTTCTGCAGTTAAAACACTTCAGTCTTCCACCTGTGGTCCCCACATGTTTCCAGTTTGCTACATGGGTTATAGAGTTTATAACATTCTCCAGTATATTAAATCCCACACTCGTTGCACATTGTCACTGTCCGTCCACTCAGTGTTCGCCTGCAGCTTCTTCACCCGTCACACCAGCTGTGCACCAAGCTCTGAATCAGTGGCCTGTCTCTGATTATATTTCCAACTAGCGACTCCTAACCTCTCATCTCTCTCTCCATGTGTCTCTCTCTCACTACCCCTTGTTGCTCTGTGTTGCTCTCTCAACCCTGCCCCCCTTGTCATTCTCTCTCTCTCTCTCTCTCTCTCTCTCTCTCTCTCTCTCTCTCTCTCTCTCTCTCTCCTCAAACACACTGCCTTCCTCGCCTCTCCCTCTCTCCCACCCCTACTCTTCATGTAATATGGCCCTGAGCTCTACTACCAGATTCTTACATAACAGACATGTTCACTAACACTACCAGTATTAACAGCAATTTTAAATCAAACATTCATTCATCTTTTATGTCAATTGATTGCAACTCATTACAGCAGTCATTGTGTGTTAAATGTCTTGTATGCACAAGCATTCATGCATGTTGCACAAGGACGCAAGACTATTTAAGATCACTCATGGAGCCAGGAAACTAATTGGTGTTCCCATTCACAACTTATATGGCTGCAGAAGGGCCAGCTTAAGGAAATCCTTGTTCTCTAAGGTACAGAAGCACTAAAAAAGTTAACTCAAATCATGACAATCTGGTTTGTTCTCTCCATGTGTATTGTTTTGTAATGATTCTATAATATCGTGACCGTGCAGTGTCCTAGTTTGAAATATATGCCACAATCATGGAAAATAAGGAATCTGTGAGGACTAGTTAAACAGTTTACGCTGTAACAATTGAGATCTGTGAAACCTCAAGTTATAGTAAATAATGCAAATTGACATTACTTGGTTAAATGATGCACAATGTGTGTCTGAGAAAGCTTACATAGTGTCTACAATAAGAAGACTGATTACTGGTGATAATATTTTCATCAGGATTCATTTTCTGAAAGCAAACGGAGACGAGAAAAAGAACTGCCTTGTTCTGAAGGATATATACTCATGACTGCTGGCAGGACATGGATCAGAAGCATGCCACATCTGCTGGTCATTCCTTTTTATGGTGCTGAACATGTTGGAAAAAGAAGATGAAGGGAATAGAGGGAGGTGAATGATGCAGAGCTTAGACAGAGATGTCAACTAAGCCCCTACAGCAAGGGATAGCCTTAATCTGCACACTGTGCATGCATGTGGATCAGTGTTTGATCTGGAATAAGAATGTTTATGAAAATCTACATGTAAGTGTGTGTGTGTGTGTGCCTGAATGGATGTCTGTCCATGTGTGCCTGCCTGTGTACTTGTGTATACAGCACAAATGGGCAGATGTTTTCAAGGATTACTGTTACAGGGCTCTGCCGCCCTTGATGACCTAATCACGGTACTTGTGTTTATGTTTACAAGTCAGCACAGCAGGGAAATATACAACAGGACATCTATTGCTACATTTATTTTGTATGTAATTCCCCATCTCCGACCTTAGCAATTATACTATATATTGTGATCTGCTTTAGTTTAAACAAGACACTGCACGATACAAAAGTGGAAATGCACATTTTGAGGAGGGAGGTAGGCTTTTAAACAGCATGTTTAAACACACGAATTAGCTGAAATCTGATGCTGATTTGCTTAACACCGACTGTGACTACAGGGCCACTTGTCATGTTAATACAGTCTGTGCAAGAAGCTTGAGTTAGAGAGGGATTAGAGAAAGATGAAAGAGGCAAGTCATCCTTCTCAAACAGCTGTTATTTACAGATGACAGCTCATAGATGTAAGCAGGTAGTGGTAGAAATGTTCACATTTATATTAAAATATGAAATTAAATTAAATTGCTGGTATTGTAGCACACTATGCAATACAGATTAATCAAAAGCAGGCAGATGCTACGTTGTATGTTGAATATCATATCTGTATAATAGCACAAGTCAAATTTTACTGGCAAAGTATATTCATAATACACATGAGGGTGCTTTACATAAACATACAACAGTACATACTGCATGTCATAAAAAATGTACAATGTAGAGAACATATTTAGAAAGGGTTCATGAATGAATTAGAAATGTTGTTTGTTATTTCGAATTTAACTATATTTCATGAGCAGGAGCTCTGGCAAACTATCTAAAAAAAGAAGATGACCTTGTCTTGATGGAAAATCAAATCACTGGGGTGGAATTCATAGAGCATGACCTGGACATTGGAGGTCAGTATTCCGCAAGTCAATGAGTCAATTACTATTGAACCAGTTGGTAGCACTGGTGCTTAAGTCCTGGGCTTGAATCCCTTGTTGAAAGATATAGCTGGCCTTTCACCCACAGTGGAAAGAGTCTAATTATTATTGAGTGGCGCTGGCCATGTGACCAGGGCTGCGTCCTCAGGCACATGAGTCAGTTGGAGATCAATAGGCCTACTTGACTACAGTTTATATGGGCAAATTTTTTTTAGAAACTGTGCAGAGTTGCATCAACATTAAAAAACTAAGCCAAAGGAGGATGATTGTCAGGTGTATGTTGCCCTAAACTGGCATCTTTAGCGATGATGACTGACTAAGCTGCTTAAGACATGGATACCTTAAAAGACCTTGACCATCTGAGAGCTTTGGAAAAGAAACTGTGGGAGGCATGTGCATGATTGTTTTAGAATTTAGTTCCAAAAAACAATCATATTATAGAAGAAATAAGGATAATTTGGTTTATGTTTGAGCCACAACAATATATGACTTTCAGCACAAATAATGTTCTCTAATCAGTGAATGAATATAAACTATAACTATAGGTATTTTAGCAACTATTAAGCAGAAATAATGAGGATAAATTATGAATTGTGTTAGGCTAACATCAAAATGTGGTTTTTATATGTCTTATGAATGAATAAGTGAATAGTTGAGTAACATTTGCAAACTTTACATCATGGGAAGACCTACCTCTTCTCTGCCTCTGATTGGGCCTAACCGTGACCTAAGTAACCAGACAATTAGATTGCAAAATGTGGGTGGGGGAAAAAAAATCACGATTCAAACATGTTGATTTAACATAGGCCTATGACTATGACTTGAAGACATTATTTTTTGTCTCCTTTATGAATCTCTTCTTTAACTTCCTTCACAGTAAGATATACTTGAACTTCCCATGAGATTTTAATTATATCTGCTTTTGAGACATCCAGCATACAAATAAACAAAACAGACTATGTAGCGATGAAGTTGCAGTTTGCTACCAACTGAAACCCGTCGTCTCAACCAAGTGTGTAGAAATTACAGTGGTCCTTGTTAGAGCCACACAAGAGAAGCTTTCTACTGACACCATGACAAGTTTACTTCCTACAGAGTCAATTAACTGGTTTGACTTAGGATGACTGCGTCACATGAATCTGCATTTTAATGACAAAAACAGATTTTCTTTGCAATGTGTGCAAACATAATTATTTTAAAAACCACTCCTGTTGTATCACCACAAATATGTTGTGCATGCCTTTGTTTAATCAACAGCCTTATTAACATAAGTGGTTATGCTGGTGTTCATTTGTTTTGGATATTGCATTGGAGGGGTTGAAAGAATTGAATATGCTCAAAGCAAACTGAAGTTTTGCATTTTTACACCGTTTATGTATTCCTATCGTGGCAAGGCTGTTCCATGATTACTGTTTCTGTGCTCAAGATTATTCTGTTTTAGTTGGAGGTATCAATCTTAGATTAACTTGAAAGGGCCTCTGCTTTCCCAAAAACACGCTGCTCCACGTGTGGTTGTGTGCTGTGTATGGATTGTGGGTGCTTTCTTCCTAAAATGATGTACAGTTTGACAACCTAAAGTGGTTGTAAATAGTATTTACCGCACTAAAGTAGACAGAAATGTTTGTCCCTACTCCTCTGGTTTCAGGCGCAGATGTTTTGAAGTGCAGCAGCATGAGTGGAGCATGTGGGATTCAGGCAGGAAATTATGGATATGGTATAGAGGTCACATATAATGTATGTCTTAAGCCTCTTTAGTGTCTGCATGGGTTTCTGTTAACCAGCATACTGAATCTAGGTTATAGATCAAACCATGTGGAAAAACCAGGTCATAACATGCTCTTCAATAAGTGGAATGAATATTTCAGTCAATAACAAACTACCACAGTATGACTATCTCTATATCTCTCCCTCTCTTTCATTCTCTGTCAAAAATTAATGGAGTACAATTAATTTGATGTGTTTTTTTTAATTATGAGAAGTGATGGATTAACTTGAGCATCGGAGATACATAAATACAACACATCCATATACATACAATATGTGAGGAGAATCAAAGTCAGTGACAGCTAGAAAACAATCCATTAACTAAAAACAACATAAAGAGCAATGATTTTCACAACAACACACATATTGTAATATAATATAGATTCTATGTGTGGATTATGTACAATAAGTGAATATAAGTTTACCCTGCCTATTGTTATACATTCTTATTATCCTGTAGTTTTTAAATATCATAAAAGCCAGACTAACCCTGTCTCTTTGGACTCAAAACTTTCTCTTAGAAACTTTTAATGTACTTTCTTGAAATGTTTTAAATGGCAGCTCAGGTCTGTAAAGGTGGCCCAGTTCTTCTCTTTGCAGACGTCCACGTGTTTTGTTACATATTAAATAAGACAGAACACACACCATAAAAGCTATGGACAAGACTGCATGAGGCATTAAGTACATTTATAATTCACGTCTGTGATGGTGTATATTTTTAAGAGGGACAGAGCTAATTATATCTACAGTATGATATGAAACATAGGAACCAAATGAATGTGTATGTGCACAAATGTTTTTTTTAGGCTAAATGTTTAGAGCAAAATCTAAGAAAAAATCACTGAAGAGCATTGGCATAATACAGAATCTCACAGGTCTGCAAATATCTATATAATCTATAATTTAAGTCAAAAACATTTTGGGAATTTTTAATACACAGCATCAGTCCACAGCCCAACAGATTGAAGGAAATATTTTCTTTTCACACAGTGTTAACCTGCAGCACCAGTAACATCAGAAAACATATCCCCAGGACAAGCAAAGGTTTTTCTCCAGCCATCCGAGCACTTGCACCTGTGGCCAGACTGACACCTGGTGACTCTGGGAAGCAGAAGATTAGGATATAGCATCACAAATGTTTCTCTCTTTAAATTTATTTGTAATTTGTCACCCTGCGGCACTTACCTGTGGTCAGAGTGATGGACCTCACATTAAGCCAGTAGATTGTGCGCTGCTGAGCTACTGTGGCCCTGAAAAAAACAAAAAACACAGAGTTATTGTAGAGATGTTCCAGAGAAGAAGATACAGTTTGCTAAGAAATGCATCTCTTCTCCTCTTTGGGGCTGAATTGGATTAAGCGCTTGCTTTCTATAATACAATATATATTGAGTTACACTGAATGAACTATGCAGAAATCGGAAAAATAAAAAAGTCTTAAATCATAAAATCATAAAATCTTACTGTCACAGAAAAAAAAGACAATATGAGACAATGGCTTGGTTTTAAGTAGATTTATGTTTTTGTGATAGTATTTACATGAAGTAGACTGGGCTTGTAGAGTTGGGTGGCATCCAGCTGTATACAGTGGTGTTGCCCTTCAGGTTGGTGTTGGAATGAGTAACAGCTCCTTGTGGATTCCCTGTGCACTGTGAAAATAAAATGGCCACACTCATCAGAAACTGTTCATCTTGATTTCACGTGTAAAGTTAATGTTGCTTGCAAATTCATTATAAAACCATTCTGACTTAAGAAGGTAAAGAAAATATGAAAACAACAAGGAAAACTGTGATATTTTCTGTCTGTTTTTTTGTTTGGGAGTCTTTAACATGCACAGCCCATCCCTCCTCGCACTTTAACAACTGTTAGTAACTCAAGCGGAAAATGCTTGACCACCTGAAGAAACTTTGTGTCTGGAGGAGGGATTTTCCAGCTCCCCAGAGCATTAGTGCTGCCATCTCTGCGAGCTTCAAGAAGCACACCTCTATATTCTGGTCCAGTGACAGTCACTGCAGGAAATCAAACAACGAAACAGCATTATAAACAAAAATTATTTTATTTTTAAACTTGAACTAGCCAGTATGTGTTGGATAAAGTAATGCGATCTTATAACAGACAGGTTTTCTACTTGCTTTAGGATGTATGTATTCACAATGTGACTATACAGTAAATAAATACCAATTGCAGTCCAATAAAGGTGTAAGAATGAAGGACATTCAGAGGCATACACATAAGAATCCAAAAATCCCCCCCAGAATAAGATATTTAAACTAAGGAATACTGTCAATAGCAACCATGAATCAAACTGGCAAAGGTGTAACAAAGCTCAAATGAAAGGTAGTGATTGATGATAAAATAATCACATACCTGTAACAGGTTTGCCCGGCTGAAACGTCCTGGTGTTGGTGAGAAGAGTGTAGGGTGCTGCTGAGGGCTGAGGCAGCACCCCAGAGTGGCGAGGCATCATATCCTCACAGGCACCAGTGGGAGCACCATTGGGATAGCCACCAACAAAACAGAGCACTTGAAGCATAATGAAACCAGACAACAACAGCTCCATCAGGCTGAATGAAAACCACCACGCTGCACGCAAAAATATCCAAATAGTCGTATATGATGAGAATGAAATGCACAGAGGTGAGCCAAGAGACAGACTTTTGAAAAATACTGTTGCTGAGTCACACAACCAAAAAAATTTAATTTTCTCCAGCAATCATTTTTCCAACCATGACATGTGCTTTTCACAAGAATGCTCCCATGATACCTAGAAAAGAGTTCAAGTGATATTTATGCATTTCAAGGCAGAACAAAGGTCAGTTTTAATTTGCCTGTCTAATGCTTATAAACCACAAATCAGGAAGTTAGAAGAGTTATGAAAATCACATGGTCAACATGTGCACTTTAATAGTATAATACAGTCTAAAATCACTTTGTATGCCATTAAGCCACAGTCCAAGAAAATCACTTAGTCAAAATAATACTAATGCATATTTTTTTCAGAGATTATTCTTGACATAGGTTTGTCACTGGAGAACATTTTGACTTGGAAGTTGAAACAATGTAACTTTAGAAGACAATCACCTGATCTGTGTAACTAAATTGTTGCAAGAAATGAGGACTGTGGATTTTGACCCCTGTCTCTTCCATCAGAGGGATGTTATGATGGGATATTTTCATGTATGAACAGGAGGAATGATTAACAGCCAGCAAGAACTGTTTCAATGTTCATATGGGTACCTGACTCTTGTTTACAGATTTGATTTCAAACCTATACTTTAATCAAAGATAAATACCAAGACCTAAGTTCTGCTTTTATATTCTACAGACCTTGTAAGCACCATTTATCAAAGGGTAACAAGAATGACCTCACAACATTATGTCAGTTTTATTATTGATAAGCAGATCTATGGGGAGAGCAATCGAACCACATTTAGCTTTTTGCTCAATGCATGTGTACGCATGAACAGGGGTTCAGAGAAATGTTGATGTTTAAATCTCCAATTTATTTTAAGCCCTAGAGTCCTTTTGTTGCCAGCTGGATCAAACTCAAATTGAAATGTTTACATCAATGTTAAACCCCCTCAAAATAAGTTTTTTTCATTAATGCACAATGACAATACACTGATGTGTATAAAAGGCCTATATTAAAGTTCTGTATTTTGTAGTGTGAGTAGGTTTTGATTTCCTCATTAAAGATGCAGCATGGTCATCTCGTGTCAAAATTTTGCTCAGGACCAGAGTATTTTAAATCTGACCCAACATGGAAAAATCCGTCTCTGGTCAGCCGTGCGTTCGTGGTCACCACACGCCAGTAGACTGACAGCACAGAAACAGGACATTTGTGTGTAAAAGACCGCACCACAGCAAGCAGCAGGTAGAAATATAGCAGCAGCAGCAAAACACCTTACAGCGTGCTGTGAATGTGAGCAATGAGGCTTTTAAATATCCAAATCAGTGCAGTGAAGCCTGAATTATAATATTACTGTAGGTGCACTACACATGTCTGGGAAGTGGGCCCATTTCAGCCAGCTCCACATTCTCTGTTCACTGTCAGCAAACAATACTGGCACCAGAAACAGACAGGAGGCAGTATACTAAATGACCTGAGAAGACCCTGTGAAGTTATGTGTGTCAATGAAGTAAAGTAAACTGGTTTTAGTCATAATAAAAATAAAAATAAAAATAAATTGAAAAAAAGTTTTGCTGAATGATTTATTTTCGTTTGTGTTTTGATAGTAGCCTTCTTAAGAGACACACATAAGCGATGCCGTATCTTAAAATTTTGACACAGAAACATAAATTATTGTGGGCTGGATTTTAGATGACAATATGTCTGCTCTGCCAAGTCCTGTTCATTCACTTTCCAAGGATGAATAATGACATGCAAAATCTTATTTCGGTGTCTCTGAGTCTCTGATTTAGTACTTATCAGAAAAGGTTTTCAGAGAAAAAAATCCCTCTTTCTAAGTTAATGCACATGTGTAATCTTTGTGCTTAAAGGATTAGTGTCTCATTTGCAGAGTATTTCTAGTAGGCCATAACGAGAGTTGATTGTACTGTGTGTCCTTAAAACTTGTTTAATCTTTTGTTTCTAAAAGATTATTATTCTAAAAGAATAAAGCCGTATGAAAAGAACCAAAACTCTCATTGAAAACATTTAAATGTTAATATGTTGGAAAAAAAATAATCAAGTACTTATAGTTAATATCACAGAACCGACACAGAAGGTCTGTCTCTTAGTCCGGCATTTCACACTTCCTCTCTGGTGTCCGTAGAATAAAATGTATTATTTATTTTACATATTATAAAAGAACAACTGGTGTGATCTTGACACTAAGAGGAAGAAGCCAAATGTGCTTTTAATCTAAACAGAGCCAAGCACCATGAAATGAGATGTTCTTTCTGGGCAGACGGACTGTACTCTTTCATCATTTATGAAGGGATATATGATTTTAAAAACTTTTAAAAAGCATTATTATGGCTCATACAGCGGAGTCTGATATTCCTTTTTCTTTCTTCTATCTTTCTTCTTTGTTGAGTGGTCATGTTTCGTTTCAGCTGATGACTAAATCATTGATGGGGCACATGCTAACTAATTCATTTTCCATGCACTGTCATAGTACACTGGTTTTCTAACAGAGGGCTCTGTCTTCCATATTACTCAACATATCTTATAGCCAAAGTCTTTATGAAATGATTTTCCTCCTCCATTTGTAGACATGTCTTCTCAAATTCTACAGTGTAAGGTAAATCAGCGAAAGCGACTAAACTAACACAAATCCCTACTTGGCAGGACTAAATAATGCCCTCCCCTAAATACACTATGTTCTGTTAGGGTAGTGAACAAGGGAAATACACATCCAACGGATCACCACCTTGTTTGGTAACACAGTTCCTAAAAGCTTATGTGAGCAAAGATTGAAAAAAAAAACTGAATTGTGCACAAAGACAAAGGTCAAATGACTTTTCCTTTTACTTCCATCCAACTCCTCAATTTAAAGCTTGGGGCTCTCCAAATCGGCTAAATAACACAGGACAGAGAACCAGTGGAAGGTGCAAGTCTATTTCCATACTAGTTTAATGTGGCAAATTAATGCAAAATGTGTTTCCATTTTCTGTTTCAGTCCAGTTTCTTGCTAACTTATCATTTATTTCATACTAATAGCAAAGCCTTGCCATGTGTCCATATTGATTGCAATTATGAGGCTCACAAACTCTCACTGCGACGGCTGCTTTTTGATTCGTTGTTTGGCCCTAAAGCTTGTTTAAAGGGTTGGTGTTGGTGTTGAATTACAAAGATTGATAGCTGAAAACCTGGACATAAACCATCTATATGGCTAGATATACTAGATGTAATTGAACATTTTTTTCAGGTGAGTCAACCCTTTTAAGGTATTATTAGTTGAAACTAGAGCGGGATGAGGTACGTAATATGATTTGTTATGGTATTCAAATCAATAATAACGCTCTGAGTGAGAAAATGGATTAGGGTTAGAGCACGGGTTAGGTAACTGTTCTAATAACATCATTGATATCACAGGAACGTACATTATGATTAGATAAAACCAAATTATGTGCCATTAGTTATCACACTGGATCGTTATCACAAGTGCATTGAATATGGCAGATTTAGAGCAAATCTTTCAAAGGTTACCTTTAACCTTAGACTGTGATAATATATGGATGACCTCAATACGTCTAAATGGTTTCATCTAAATGAAACAGCTTGATTCTCTAGCTGATCACTCTGCTCTCAGTTTATTTGAGTGTGGATGCTCTGGAGTTTGATGATGTTCCAGGCAGAGAAAAGTACTGTCCTGGAGTGCAGTGCTGGTATTATTGGGCTCACGACAGGAGAGAGATGGGAACACAATTGTGCATGCGTTTGTGTGTATGTGTACTTGCATGTTCTTGCATGGTGTTAGGTGACAGGACAGAACAACAGCAGCAGAACAATCAAATGAAATTCAATATAAAATTCCGCTGAGCGTCACTCAGACCTCAATTAAATAAATAAATGAGAAACAAGATTTAGCTTACCAGTTAGATATTAGCAGCTTACATCACATTACATGACGTGGTTACATTAATATAACGGAGTTGTGTGCTGAAACACAATGTCCTCTTTATGTCAAAAAATCATAACTATACAGTGATCAGGAGATAGAACATCACAAGACAAGGACTCTGAATCCAAGCCATAATACATCTAGTGTGCAGATTTTTCCAAAACACAATACAGATGTTCTTCTGCATTCAATATTGCCTATGATGTGTGCTCTAACCTTCGAGTCAAACCAAAACAGGTTCAAGAAGGAATACAGATGACATACAATAAATTCAGTGTGTACCAAGACTTGTATTGCAGTTGACAAAATGCATCAAACCGCCCTATTATTAAAGCACAATAGAAAAATGTCACAGCCACGTGGATGTCACAAAACAACCATAATGTTCTGAAATGTAATGTCAAGTCTTGTAGACTTGTCTGTGATTGAAAAGACCTCTAGAAAGGGCAACAGTGATAAGGTTTAAAAATACAAAGAAAGTGGAGACCATTTCTCTACTGAAAATTGCGTTCCTGCAGGTCGTGATTTGAAAATTTTCTGCCCAATGTGGCACAAAAAAACATTTTCTTAGACCCAGAACTGCTGTGTAGAGTTTTTCACAGGTTGTTGTGTGTTTCCAATAATTCCTCATACTGTAATGGCAAAATAGTTCCAAAACGATCCACATGACATTTTCTGAAAAGTACTTGATTAAGGTGAATCACAGTCTTCTTCACTTCTTCTCAAAGTATTTTTTTCTAGATGCTATTACTTTATTCTTGTCTTCAAATTCTTAGGTTTTTTGTTGCCTCTACCAGGGGTTTGTCAGCTGTGCAATAAACAGCTTTCAGTTAATTTTTACATAGCCATTGTTTGATTTCAGAAGAATCCTTTCCCCTTTTAAAGCTCTTTAGTATTAGAACAGCAGTTTAAGATTTGATATGACTTTCTGTTTTGTAACCTCCAACTTCCTCTTTATGTATAAACAACCATCAGTTAACACAGCAGGTGAAAGTGTGTTGCCTCTCCTGTGTGACCTTGAGGCAGCAGCTTTCTTTGAATTGCTATTCTTTTTTAGGTGATTTTTGTTTCTTGGAGTTTTACTATAATGAATGGAAATTTTGTCAATTCTTTTAAAATATGTGATTTTACTGTTTAAATGTTTATGAGCCCATTCCCCAAATAAAAGCTAGTAAGCACTACCATTAATCACAGACCATGACACAAATTTGGTTAGAAAGTTATTTAATTGGCAGGCTATTTTTGCAGAGTCTAGTTCTTGACAGGCAGCTGTCACAGTGTACCAATTACAAATACAGTGTACATTTTTTTGCAAATCAAATCTAATGTTATTTAACTCACTTAATGTGTTTCTGTTTTATGATCTTGCAGTGGAAGTGACTACAAGCCTGCAAAGAATACTTTCAAACTCACTCACAATCAGACTTTCATCATATAACAAATTGGTGACACCTAATACACTTCCTTAGGACCATACATGTATTATTAAGATATTAAGGGGGATATTAAGGCTTGAGTAGTCGTGTGACTTGGGATGTGCACACTCTGCACCACCGTAGTGGTTTCTACTTGCTCGTCTCATTTCAGCTCCACCCCGGTCCTTTGCAGAATTTTAGATTATCTGTCTTCAATAAGTTTAAGCTTTAAAGGTCCAGTGTGTAACATTTAGGAGGATCTATTGGCAGAAATAATATAATAATAATACATATAACTATGTTTTCATTAGTGTATAATCATCTGAAAATAAGAACCTTTATTTTTTTGTTACCCTAGAATGAGACTTTTATATCTACAGAGGCTGTGGGTCGCCTTCCATGGAGTCTGCCACGTTGAACCATCATGTTTCTGCTAGGGCTGCCCCCTAAGAGTCAGCTAAACCGTCTTAGTCGACCCTGAGACAAAAATAACAATGTCAAACTCCTTTCAGGAGTTGCACCTTGTAACACAGCACTGCTGCATGTGCTAACTGTACATTTATTCCATGTTTTAAATAAAGAGACTTGTGTAATGGGACACTGTGTTGAAATTAATTAAGTAAATGTGTTGTACGTCAGCTTTTAACAGGTGGCTGTTAAAATATAGATATATATGTATTTGAATAAACGTGCAACAACAAGTCAATGGCTTTAACTAACAACTACTAACCGACTAGGAAAATCTTTAGTTGGGGACAGCCCTAGTTTCTACAGTAGCCCAGAAGGGGCAAATAGGGGCGTCCATGTTTTTTGCGCGTTCCACTACTACCGTGGTTTCTCTTTGGCGCTTGGAAGGGGATGCCACTAAATGCACTAGATGCCGCTAAATCCTACACTGGACCTTTAAATGGATCTTCAGACATGTGCTGACATCACAGATGCTACATCAACATTTTCCTATAGTCTATTGGTAACAGCTATTTAACAAACATGTGCACACAGTCAATAGATGCTACATTTTGTACAGTGGAGGGTCAACCCATATAATCACACAGTGGTGGATCACATCCCTTACGTTCATTTACATTCCACAGTCACACGTGTATTTTATTGGACGCACCTCAATTGAAATGCCTTTCAGATTTGACACACTTGAAAATGGCACAGGCCACCACTGATTTTCTTTCATTCTCCTCAAATAAATTCAAGATGTGAACTCCTGTAATAACTGATTTTTTTTTTTTTTTAACTGGATTTGTTGTGAGGTCAAACTTTGAAACCAGGGTGTAGCTCTAATGGGCAAACCATCCCCTTTGGACATTGGTGTCACTTTTTTTAGGGAGGGGGCAACACAATATAAGTCAGCCAAGAATAATTCAACAAAATGTAGAAAAGATGGAACATTCGCAGAATGTCCCTTTTGAAAAGTGAAGCTCAAGCACGAGAAAGCACTACATTGACAATCTTGCACTGCAAATGCTTAAACAAGAGAAATTATCTATATTCTTTGGTGTGAAAACAAACACTACAAAGCAACACAACTTGAAGCCTCAACTGCACAGTACTGTGCTTTGTGTCAAATGATAGTAACAGACTGTCACACACAACTTCTCCAGGATTTTGGCTGCTTTACCATGTCAACATCAGACTCTCATGTGACCAGTATCTCGGTGTTCCAAATAAAGGAGCATGTAAACTAAAAGAAGAAGGTATAAAGAAACAAATATTGTGTGCAGCTGACATCTTCACCCTTCAAATCTAGCAAATTTCTTTTTTTAAAAACGACATTAACCAGACTTTCAAAAAATGTAGTCTACAGACTGATAATACATCACAAACAAGAATACAAATGCCACAACAACAAAAACAACAGAAATCCTCTAGGACCAAAATCCTCTACAAAGAAGTTTATCTCTGCTAGCTGCTCTAGGTCAGGTTCGTGAAAAACTTGTGATGACTCTTGATCCCTCGGATCACTTGGTTCTTCCAGCAATCAAATAAGGATTTACAGTAGAAAAATTAAGATACGATTGGAATCATCCCATGAAAAAAAATGTCCTTCAAAAGGTTTTTCAAATTACCCATAATGCTAAGCTTTTCTCTCCTTTCACAGAGTACTTGTGCTTTGTAATATCCTCTGGTCGTTTTTTGCTGTTGCCATGTGTCGAAACTGAGTTTACACCATGTCAGCCCTGAATTGGTAGACCAAAATTTTATTGTTTTCAGTTTTCACTCATTTGGTGCTGGTTAGTCAGTTTCAAGATGACAAATCAGCTGGTTGAGATGTTCACTCCAGTTGAAAATGGTGCTTAAAATGGACCTTCATGTACTGAAGTCATTCTCTAGTTGGAGCAGGTGTTGATGTTCTTGCCGTCAGAAGCATCCTCCACCAGTGCTAAGTGATAATCAGTGGAGAGTGTGAAGTGGGACACGCAGCCCACCAAGCCTCCAATGTACTGTCTGTTTGTGTGAAGTGCTATCTCTTTCATGCCACCTTCAGGGGAAAATATAAAGAAAACAGACATAAGAGGGAGAGAATGTAGAAATTATTGTTTTATGTACAGTGCATATGGCCTACAGTACTCTATAGGATTATAAATTGTGAGCTACACTTACCAACATATAAGGGTCCGTTGATATTGAGTTGTCTCATCTTTCCAAGTGACCTGCCTGTTTTTGCTCCATAGTCATCCACTGTCAGCTTCCCTGACTGGCCATCCCTGAAGAGATGAGTAACAACGATAAATGTATTATTAAACAGTAAAAAATATTCTGTTATGTAAATCCTGGCATGGCACATTTGCTTTTACTTTAATCACACTTTTTTTTCATTGCACAAGTAATTACAGAAACTACATTTGAAGTCCTTCAGGACTGTCCTTGCTTTTTCCTTTATTATGCACTCCTGCACTAGCTTAATCAATATCTATATATTAACAATGGATCAAATGAAGGTTTATGTGTAAGGGTTGTTCATAGAGTTTCCCTTAGCTCTATGGATGCTTTGGTTTTAAGGCAAATAAAAGTCAAGTTTTTTCAAAATACTTGTCTTTGTTCCTTGAACTTAAACAGAAATGTGGCCACAATAAATCTTTATATTAATGATAATTATTTTTAAAATTAATCTAAATCAATTTCTTAAATTTTGACAGCATTTGACACCAAACTGTTGTGGTAGCTGGTGTGGCCAGGCATTTTTTAATGTTGGCAGTTGTCACCCCATCCCACCCCTCTATAGGTCCACCCCTGTTTATGGCCCATCTCTGCTGGGTGCGTGAAAAGGCAACTGTTTGCTAACATGTTCAGTATATCAACTGCATGATGTGGTAAGACCACTTTTGTGTTTACAGCTTGTTCTGCTGCCCCCAGGTGGACAAATAAATCAATAGACGCATCTTTAATGTCAAGAAAGTTGTAAAGTCAAGTGAAAGCAAAACATAGCCACAGATGTGCTGTAATCCAGCAGTGGACATTAAAATAATTTCTTTAGCACTTACCTCACAGCTTTGACTCTGTGCCACTTTCCATCACTGAATGTCCCGTTGACAGCAATGTTAGCTGCACCACTGCCCAGGTTATAACTAGAAACAATATGGAACAGATACCATGACTTTAGCTAGTTATAAAGGGTGCAGTGGGTTCACATTTGTATGGTACTGCCCAGATAAATCCTGCTTCTTTTCCAGGTCATGCTCAGACTTCAGGTCTTTTTTTAGTTCTGTCTCTACTGGGTGCTTAGCTCTCCCTGCCCTTTGGTGGGATCAGCGTCCCTCTCCATCATCTTCATGCTCTTCTAGCACTAAACTTTCTTCTCTCGCTGAAGACTGCCCTTTTCTCCCTAGCCCCTGTTTTGTCAAAAAGACAGGGTGGAGCAACCATGTGGAAAGCAGCACTCGTACTTGTACTAGAAATGTTTCCTTATAACTCAGATATTTCGGTAAGAAGTACTAGATAAGCTTACATAACTGTTATTTTAACAAATACCTGAAGATTAGTGCACCGTCCTGAAGCCCCATAGACAGGAAGTCACTGTTGGGTCTCATTGGACTGTCTCCTCGCCATAGCAACAGGCCATCCTTGGCTGTGCTCTTAAAACGCATGAAGAGGTTGGTCCTGGACCCAGACACCCTGAAAAAAAAGACAAATTAAAACAAGGACTTTTGCTGTGATGGTAAAAAACATCAACATTTTCTAAAGGAGGTGTTGTAACTGAACATATAATGTAAAGACACCAGAAACCCTTTTGCAGGCCTGTTTTACTACCGACCTTTTCAGAATATCTCTGTTGTCATATGTCAGGTAACTTCGGCCAATGAACTGTGGGATCTCTATGGCTTCAGTCACGGCTGGGCAGAGAAAACAGTGTGTTTACTTCATATCATCACAAGGTGGCAGCGTCAGCATACATGTACTGACTCAGACTGCTCTAGAAGACTAAAACTGATTCTGTGAGGAAGAAATGCATGAAGGAAAAGATGTATTTGCAAAGATTATGATAGATTAAGATTATTATGATGTGCAGGCTTTCTGAATTCATAGAGGAAAACTTACTGTTCAAACAGTAATTCCCACATTCTGTTCAGTGAAAGCGTTAAAAACAGAGAAGGCATAGATAGGCTTAGGGGATTAGATTGTCCAATATATAATTTTATATGACATTACATGAGAACAGAAAAAAAAAACCATAGTTAATCCCTGAGAAGAGAAAAGATCATGCCACATGGTTAAAGCCATATACTACACATACAAAATACATTCTTCTTTACAACTGATTTTTAAAATGAAAGTTAATTGCAATGATTTCATATATGTTTTAGTTGTATTATACAAAAGACAGACATGCTCCTAGTCCTTAATAGCACATACGGTGGCTAAACCACACACTGCTTACAGTGATATGTATGATCTGGTACCTTTTTATGTCTGAGTCTCTTTAATCACAATGTACCACATTGTGAAATGGCAGTCCTTCTCCTACACTGTTATTGAAGATGCATATGCTCTGCTACTGCAGTGCCCCATTGCACCCATTTTATAACTGTACTAGTTGTACTATGTACATTTACATTTACTCACTAAATAAAAGACCCCAAACATACTTAGTTACTATGCTAAAACATTAGTCAGTTTCGAAAAAAGTATTTCATTCATTTAATTACGGCTGACCTTTCTGGCAGTGCCTCCCATCATACCCTAGTGGGCAGTCACACTCGTAAGTATCCCACTTTGGCCTGCACGTCCCTCCATTAGCACAGGGACTTTCCACACATGGGTGTGCTGAATTCGCCACATTAACTCCACCAGCAGAGCCAGTTGTTATTGGGATGGTGCGGTCATTGAGTATCAGCTGGGGAGGTTCAAATAAAAGAAACAAGAGAATGTATGAAAATTCAATTAAACATAAAACATCTTGCTATAAAGATGATATATGCGTCATGTTTTTTACCTACATTTATGCAACGGAATGAAGTATTTGAAATATCACAAGCAATGATCTACGTTAAACAATGCCAAAAAACTTTATTGCTGAATAAAACTGTGACCTATGTATATACTGTATATATGTTTTTGTATATATATATATATATATGTGTGTGTATTTATGTTGTTAGTTGCTGTGTGTTTGTGATAATACCTTCTGAATAATTCCAGTGAAGGGCTTTATTACTCCTGCTGTGTTCTTGGTTTTATCATATTCTGGTACTCCACCAACATAAAGAGGCGAGCTGCAGTTGATCTGAGTGAAAGCTCCCTGAAGAGTAAAAATAACAGAAAGATATTAGTTAATTATGACAATTATGCATCATGCTCAAATGTTGCAGCATCATGTAACCCTGTTTTTTCCACATGTTTGAACAAATAGTATAATGTCCAGAACTGAATATATTTCAAAGATTCTGTTGCTGAGTTTGTTGTTAAAGTTTTTCTGCCCCCCTGTGGTCAGGAATCTCATAATGCGGGTTTAAGCAACACAGAAACAAAATACCTCAGCGATGCCTTCCATTGGCCTCTGGCTGTCCACCTGAAGGATACCGCTCTTTGCTGTGCGGGACACCCTGAGTTCATGCCATGTGTCTAGACTGATCTGCTCTTCACTCCTGTAGCACAAATCATCACATACAATACCGGCCATCTAGTTAGACAATATAATAGCTAAGAGAAAGTGAAGGAGACAAAGAATAGTGAGAGTGTGCATCTGTTTAGTACCTTATTGTAGCACCTCCAGAGCCACAGTCAAATCTGAACTCTACATATCTGTCCACCAGGTTAATAGCCAGGAAGTCTCCGCTGCCTGCGTCATCAGTGTACAGCAGCGTCCCGTCGGGCATCGACGGCCGAAACGTGAGCTCAAACTCCATAAAGGACAGATAACTCTGAGAGGACTGAGGCCACGGGATGACAGCATATGAAAATACTGTCTCATTAAAGAGAGGGGAGGACAGTGAAAACCCTGGAGAGTTGGAGAGAAGATATGAGAAGAAAAGAGCAAGAGGGAAAGCAGAAGAAGGATTTAAGGAATAAGCATTAAGTTTATTAAGAGTGAAGTGGAGGGAAAAAAAGTAGAGGAAAATGGACATGGGAAAGACATCAATCAATCCCACTGCCTCTATATAAGAAATAATAATCCTCATCTCAACCAATTTTCCTTCATATTGTACTCAACTGTTCAGTAATTACCGTAAAAGGCCTGTGTGACAATCTACCACAGCCACCGAGAATTTGATTTTCAAAACTCTTCTTGCAAACAATACAAGTGTGTGTTCTTTAGGAGTGAGGAAAAGGAAAATATACTTGACTTACTCTCTTCACAAAGAGCTCCCCTGAAGCCCAATTGGCATAGGCAGATGTAGCCATCGGCACGGTTTGCGAAGCAGACTCCACCATTGGCACAGCTCACCAGGTCACATACGCTGTCGCTGCACTCACCTGGCACACAGGGGCAAAGAGATATGAGCCGATTAAAGCAGAGTCAACATAATACGAAATACAAAAACTTTTTCTTGCAACTAATAGGTTAGGCACTCACTGCATTTAGGAAATAATGTGTGGCTACCAGGTGCTTTAACCAAAGGACAATAGCAGTCATCCAAATTCAAACAGAACCTCTAGCCAAATAACACTTATTACACAAACTCACACACATACTGTATGCTTCCTCACCTATGTCAGCTCCACTCAGAGCTCGGCCCAGAGGCCATGGTCTGATATCTGTGGCCTTGTTGTTGATGCTCAGACTCTGAATGCAGCCGACAAAGCCACGATTTGTCCCTGTTGCCCTGACCAGCCAATAAGCACTCGGGGATCCACCCACATACAATGGGGAGCGGAACGTGATCTTAGTGTACTGGCCCTAAAAGAACAAAATGTGCTTGATTCTTTATTACTGTAAAAACATTCATCATTACTTGGACTGTTGCTGGTCAGCTACCTGAATGGACTAAAGGGAATATTTTTAGTAATGTTTAATAAAACACTGGCATATAGAGGAAAAGATCCATAAATTACCATTTAAAAGAAAATATATCCAGTACATTGTGTATTTTGCAGTGTTTGAAACTTTGATCTTATCCCTCGTATGTGTTGTGGTTACCTGTGAGCGTCCAGATATGGGGTTATCGTTGTCCATGCGCAGCCAGCCGCTCATGCCATCTCTGAAGGCGGTGACTGTGTGCCACTGACCAACAACAACACGACTCTCACTGACTATCTGAGCTGCTCCTGTACCACAGTTAAACCTGAGGGACAACAGTTGTTACATACTGTATGCTGACATGTAAAAAAAAAAATGCTGTAAAAAGCACAAATTATATGCACATTTTTCCTATTCAACTCCAGTATCCCCCTTAACGGAAAAAGCCCCATCTAGAACCAGTGTTTGGTAAATACATGGCAGACTCCATGGAAGAGGACCTGCTCCCTCTGTATATACAGTAAAAACGGCTTATTCTAAGGTAACAAAAATGCGACGAATATACACTAATGAAATGATCCAATGGATGTTACATTCTATTTCTGCCAATAGACCCTCCTAAATGTCACACACTGGACCTTTAAATTCCTCTCTTTAAATTTAAACAGCTTTTTCTGCACTAAATCACATATGTATTGCCTATCTGCTTGTTCTAACACTGAAAGCTGAAAATAAATTCAAGGCCCAGTTTTTTTATGGCTACACCATTAAATCAAATGGAAAAACAGTATTATAGCCGTAAATACATCAGCCATCCCCTATAAACTGGCTCTTACAAGCAGTTCATCAGTTTTCCACTTTGATGCTTTTGAAGAATTGTTTTCCAGCATTCATGAAACTCTTGTTTTCTCCAAAACACATCTTTTACATAATCATTTTAAAGCCAAACTTTTGAAAATGTAAACCCATGAGTGAGTCACTGTTTTCTTCACCTGTAGTGCAGCTTGCCTCGCACCAGAGCCAAAGAGGTAAAGTCTCCACGTCCGTGTTCATTCTCTCCACAGTATAGCAACAAGCCGTCCTCGGAGTCTGCCTGTACCACAGAGAAACTGTTCACCCTCTTTTCACCATTTTTAATGACAAAAATCAGTGGGAAAAGAAAACTACATGTTGCCTTTACCTTGAACTCCAAAGTGATCTGAAATGTCTGGTAAGAATTCTTCAAGGGTTCAAAGGTGATATGAGAGTAGCCATAGAACCTGGGAAAGTTCACAGGTACCACTGAAGAAGAACAAAGAATAAAATCATGATAAATGTATGTCTGTAGGTACAAAAATGTTGGAGTGTAACCACAAAGACCTGTCTCCCCACAGCTCTTTTACTGAAGCTTAGAACTAACTACACTTCTCTTACCCTCAGAGCAAGTGTCCCCTCTTCGCCCGAGGTTACAGTGGCAGCGCGAGCCTCCACTGTCGTAATCACTAAGACAGAAGCTGTCAGGGGGGCACACAGTGTCATCGCATGTCAGGTCGTACACACGAGGTACCTCACCTTTCCAGGGGGACATGGTTGGAGTGGTGGTGGTGGTGGGCACAGTGATGCTAAAGTGGATCAGAAGGCGAAGAAAGATAAGAAGGTTTAGTGCTCAATGTTCTGACAAAACAAGGTTTTCACAGTGCATAGTCAGTGGTTTAGTTAATAACCATGTTTCACTTTCAAATGCAGTTTTGTATTTGTATTTATTGCATGATCCGTTCTGTCCTAAGGTAAAATTTGAATTTCTGAATTACCCCTTTTCCTTGAAGATACATTTTTCTTCTGTTTTTTATGAGAAGAATCAAATAGATCAAGCAGCAAAAAGCAAAGTTTTCACCCAAATTCAATAGAACTGTAGTTAGACCTCCCTGTATTTTCTGCAGTTAATGACATGCTGTACATCACAACTGGAACGACAGCTTAAATTGATGTGACATTTCACTGCTCCAGTCTCCATCTGTATCAAATAATTAAGTGGCAGAGAATAAAAAAAGATAAATTGTAGGTGGCTTCTAGTGGAAAGCAGAAAGCCGGAAGAGACGGCAATCTAGCAATCACAGAGCAAGAGGGACAGAATAAGAATCGTGATTTTGTTGAGAATTTTAAAAAAAACTTCTCGATACACCTTTTTTCTTTTCTTCATAGAAAAGAAACACCTGTACTGTATATGTTTTGCCTCCTACTGTTGGTGACAAACAGCAGTTGCAGCTTATCAATCTAAACCAGATTCCTTTTGTAAAACAAATTGCAAGGTAAATCAAGGTTTTAAAGGTACATCTTACCTGGTAGTGGTGAGTGGGGCAGTAGTTGTGGTATCCATAGTGGTACTCTCCTCTAAGGTGGTTGGGAATACCAGATCTGTGAAGTCTGGGAAGATGGACGAGGATGAAGCTGGAGGGGCAGTAACGTTGGGAGGAGCGATGGTGTTCATACGGTAAACAACGTTACGACCAGATGGCGGACCAGAGCGTGAGCGGAGCTGAGACTTCCTGTTGTCCTCACTGATACCAGGGAATGGCTTCAACTAGGTAGCGAAAGAATAGAGGAAAGAAATAAACAGATGTGGGTGATGCAGTGTACTTCGCATTTGTGTTGATTGATTGTCCAATGATGTGTGACGTGTTAAATTAGATAAAGATAAAATACACCTAAAATCTTTATTGCAGAATGTAAAAACCCACCTCTTCAATAAAGATATCATAATCAGAGTCGTCAATGTCGAAGCCATCTTCATCTTTGATCTTTGAATCTGTGATGTAACGCCCGTAATCACCACTGCCAACATCTGATGGACCTGTTCACAATGTCAATTAAGATACAGGATGTCTATTACATGCTTTTAAAGGTTTAATCCTTTAATAACAGTTCATGGTTGAAGTGAAATGGTTGAAAGGTCAAACAAAGTTGGTCGAATGATGAAATACAAGGCAGCAGTTAAAGGACCAGTGTGTAGGATTTGGTGGCATCTAGCGGTGAAGTTGCAGATTACAACCAACTAAACCCCCCTTGTCTGAACCAGGAAACTTCCGAAAAACAAGAAAGGCCCTAGATAAAAAACGACTTCTTGTAAGACAACAAAAACACAATTGTTATTTTCAGGTGATTATACACACTAATGAAAACATATTATTCCATTTTTGCCAATAGATCCTCCAATGTTACACAAGTTACCTTTAATTAATATACAAACAAGAAGCAATGGGAATGACACTAATATATTGTCAAGTCCAAATCCCCTTTATATTTACTTTGTATCATGAAATGTCCACAGAGTTGAGGGCCAAAAAGCTACTTACACTGGCTGCTTGAAATATCTGCAACAGGGACATTTTACTGTCCTATAAAAATGTTGTGTTTAGAATTTATATAAATCTACTAGTTATGACTTGACTTTGGAGGAACATTGTAAAGGAAATAATTTCAACACAAGCGTCTGCTCTTGTACAAGGCAGTGTGTTCTCTGACACAGGTGGTCCCTTATTTGCTGTGCCAAAATCCACAAATTTACTTTGTGTATCACCAGCAAATTTGTCTACTAGATTTTCTAAAGAGGTTTTTATGATGACGATGGAAATGGACCCAACCACAAACAACAATGGTGTCCGATTCATGTGAAAGTTGTACAGATGGAGAGACTAAATAGTGATGGTTGGCTCTGGTTATACAGTGGATATGATCATGGGCTGGGAAATTTCACTGATGACGTATTGATAATGACATACATCAACACAAAGACATTAAAAATTGGTAGCAGCTTCTGGCCCAGTGGGTCTACCTGTAAGCCTGTACCCAGGCCACTGCAGCACGTATTGAAACGTGTCTCCTCGATACACAACGGCAGCTCATGGTGTATAAAGATAAAGCCAGACAGTCAATATACTGTAAAGAGCAATCTTTTTGGTTATCTACTACAACTGCATCTGCAAAAATATTATGCATTTCGCCAGCCTCCTAAATTAATCAGTAAGTAGTTTTTCCAATAGAAATAGTTGTTTCCATCTTGTAGTTTTTCCATTCATTTGAACATACTGTAGATTGAGAAAGACCACTCAGACCAGTATATGCTACTTTCTGGTCCTAGACTTACATAAATATGTGTTTGGACAATAGAATATAATAGAATATAATATATACAAATTACATGTGAATCTTATGTATGATGTACATATAGGTAAAGTAATTTTCTTGGTAAAAAATATGGAAAAACAGTGTTCAATGTGACAGCTCCCTACCATTCACTCTACCTTGAGAAAGCTTAATCTTAGCTTACATAACAGCATCCTCCCCCTTCCTGTCTTCTTGGTCTTCCACAGTATTAAATACTTGAAGTTCACCATGTTGTTAGGCAAGTGAGGGAATTGAAACACTGATATTAGACAGTTTATATGAATAGAAACCTATTTAAATCCTCTCTTAGAAACTTGACTCTTAAGCTTGAATGGATGTCAAGATTTAAAGTACTAATTAGTACAACCTAATAACATTAAATCTGAGTTCTGGCATACAAGGAGGGGGGGATGCCCCAAAAAATCCCTCAACTAATCTTCTGTTGTGTAACAATCCCCCTCAAGCCATACCACCCTGTTTCCAACCGCTATAAACACATACACACACACACACTGTCACAGAGAGAGCGACAAGAAAAGTATGTCAGTCAGTCAAGCCCACCCCCGCTGTTCACTCAAGCAGCGGTGCATTGTGTGTGTGCATGTGTGTGTGTGCATCCATCAGGGTTGTGGATGGGCAGAGAAGGGGTCTGGCATCCCGTCCTTAATCCTGTCTGATGAGACTCGAACGTAACCCGCTTTTATCCCCTGCTAAGAAACCACGCTCCTCTATCTCTTCGTTCCTGTCCGTCTGTCCCTCTGCGTCTGTAGAACTGGCTCATTTTATCTTGTGTCATGTAACTATTATTGATATTATTCCTTAACAGCTTCTTTCTAAATTATCTGTTCATCTATCTGTCTTCTGGATCAGTGGATTAATACAGTCAGAGCTGTCTGACAGCAAACATAGTGTGTGAAGCAAAAGCTGCTTGTCCACATGGCTTTCTGGAGTCAGCGGTGTGGTGTGTAGGTCACAGAAAAAAGTCTGCATAATGTGATTATATCTACATGGCTGTTTGATTTTAATAGTCATACATAATCATACTCCTAAAGCCTGAAAGCATTCACTCACACACACACGAGCATGCCCACAAATCTGTAGGTAAATTATTTGAATGTCATAGAACTTGATCCATTAAGACATTGCTATCATTGCATGTATATGTGGCACACACCTGTGTGAGTGTGTGTGTGTGTTTTAATATCAATCAGTCCTGACCAGACCCCTCCCCCCATGTACCACCAGCAGCCGACTACATCAAAAATAATAAAGTAAATGACTCTGTTGCTCTATATCTCTCTCATCCAAGGCTCCAGTGACACACTGCCAGGTGTTGTCCTACATTCAAGCAAACGCTGAGAGAGGCAAACTGTCACTCTGTACACAGTGTTTCTGTGTCAAACCTAAAATAAATTCCATCTACTCTTGATTGATTCATGGTTTGAGGAGATTGAGCCTCCCTAAGACCAACAAAACCCAGAAAATGATGTGTGCACATTATATAATGGAAATACATGTGAGGACATTTTATAACGGCAAAAATATCTCCAAACCAAAAATTATCTGCTTAAAATGTTAAATTATAGAAGTAGACTGGGATCTGGCAGGTGATTTTAATATCTCAATATAATAAAGTTAGCAAATTATGCAGAATGTAGCTCTAATGCTCATCTTTACATGTTGGTGTTCTCTATAAATGATGCCTCTACTATAACTGAGAAACTTTGAAATACAGTTCATTGCTTCACAGTGCTGGGAGAAAAAATGTGACTGTCTCCATAGTAACGCAGGGATTTATACAGTGCGGTTAAACATGGTAAATGTTTTATTGTGATGATAACTTTGGTGATGCAAAAAATAAGCATACTCTGTTTAGATCTGTGTGGGTGTATTGTTGAAACTACACTGAAACTGACTTTGTTTTGAAATGTGGTTGAAACGAGACTAACGAGGGAGTTGAGACTGAGCTTTGTTGGCCGTCACATCACAGCACGTTAGGTCGGAGATCAATGTTTTGGTCTTACCGAGAGTGCGCACAGGGTTGTTGATGTGGCTGGGTGGGCTGGCTCCGTGTACGTTGACCGCCCTGACAACAAACTGATACTCTGTTTCCGGTAATAACCCCTTCAAAACCATGGAGTTAGTCACAATGGGCTCCCGAATATACGTCCACTCCGTGTCCATTTCTGGCCTGTGGAAAGACAAGACACACAAGGGATCCTTTTTAGGTTTGGTTTTTTTGGTATGTCAATGTTTTCCTTTCATTTTCCTTCCTTATCATTTAAAAAAATCATCATTCTCACAACGTCAATGGTTCAATATTTTGATGTGATCTTTCACTTGATTCTGCAAAGTTATTGCAAAGAGTACAATAACAAGATGATGTAGCTCTGAATAACTCACAAAAATAGAGGATAACTTTTCAGACAAAAACAAAACGAACAATCGATTGAGATGTTCTTCGTTATGTTACTGTTTTGACGGCCTTTACTTCTTTTACTCTAAGTCTTAAAGCATTATTTTCTGCTTTAATCAGAGTTTTGGTTTGAAAACAGAGTGATGAACTCCTGAACTTTCTTTTTTTTCTGCCTATCATCTCCCGCTTCCATCTCATGCTGCCATATTTGTGTGCTGAATCTAGGCGCCTGGAGCCACAACTATCTGTTGAATAGGGTCATCTTCATCACCACTCAATGTCTGTCTTCAGCAAGGCCTCTTTTGATGTAAGTGAAGAAAGATTTGCCTCTGAGATGGCCCTTTTGTGTGGAAAATACCCTCGCATGCAAAAGCAGACACTGATTCATGTCTACTCTGTCACAGTAAGTAACAGTTTCTCTGCTTCAGTTTCTCTCACTTTGCTCAGTTTCAGGGTATTAACTCAGCACCGCATGAAGTACAACCCTACTGTGGTTTTTCTTTAAGCTAGTTTCTTTTTTATCCCTAAAGCTTTCTTTTAAACAATTATTACAGGGACATTTTTAAATTCTATCTGGCTTTTTTTTATTTGCATCTGGCAAATCTTCAGAGGACAAATTATTTCTGACCTTAGGACTCCTTTAGACGTGGGACATTCTTTGTGTGTGTGTGTGTGTGTGTGTGTGTGTGCATATACTGTTTACATGTGAGTGAGACTGGACATTACTAAGCGGAGAATTAAATCAGTCAAAACAAAAATGGTTACATGAAGCTGACCAACAAAGGCCTCATGAAACTCACTGTAAAAGACAGCTACGTATTCTGTATCATTGTAATGAGACGATGAGTGGATGCAGAGGATCTGATAAGGGAGGCCCAATGTGCAGCTGCATATACACACATTAATGTGCACAGTTAAAAGTTAGAAAAGAACTGTTAAAAACTGATTTTCTCTTATGATGCTTCATCTGTGTTTTGTTACAATGCCAATAAAGCACTCACATTTTACTCGAAAAAGAAAAAAAACCCATCATGTTGAAGAGCCTAATTTTTTTATTCTGCCTCTTCTTGTTCCTTGTTCTATGCTTGTACATGAGGAAATTAATTAGTTAGATGAGAAGATTGATAGCACTCTCATATCTGCTTAACAACTTTAGACTCAACTGGAAGCAGCAGGAAACAGCTAGCCTGGCTCACTCCAATGGTTCAAAAGCTCACTAGCACCTCTCTATCTCACAAATGTTGTATCTGTAGAGTGAAATATAAAAGCAACAAGCACCATAAGAGAGCACATAACTCCTCATGAAACCACAACGTGTTGTTTTAATCTTTCAGTTTGTAGATACATACATTAAACAAAGAAGTCCTAATTAGTGAGTTTTATATGTGCTGATAGGTGGATTTTTTTACCTTCAAACATAGCCAGGCCAGCCCCTGCTTCTAGTCTGTATGCTAAGCTAAGCTAACCAGCTTCTGGCTCCAGCTACATATTTGAACAAACTAAACAAAAAAGTGAATGAATGTATTTCCCAAAATCTCAAACTGTTTTAAGATAACAATCGAAGCTGCACCAATCCTCTGCATCATCTTCAGAAAATTTCTTTGTAAATCTTTCACATTCAGTCCCTTTAGAAACCCCTGGATTGCTGACTAGAATTTGGGCTTGATCAATGCTTTGCCCTACAAAAAACATTTGTGGACCCATGAAGCACTCTGTGTGGTTATAGAAGATACATGGAAGCAGTGTTTTGGGAAAAAGCTCTCTAAATTGTCTCTGAAGGACAGACGGCTTATCAATTAAGAGAACAGGAAGCCGATAAAACCAGTCAGCCTTTTCCCTTTCCTCACACTGCCAGTGATAGAACATGGGTTTTCACTTAGGCTTGTTCTGTCCCTCCATGGCGTGGCCACTTCATGCTGCTCGTCACCTGAAAAGTGTCTATGTGGACTGGTTTGATGCTTGTATGTGTGTGACCTCTGTGTAATCGAGTGTGTGTAAATGTATATACCTGTAAATGTGTATTGGCAGCAACGCTGTGCTGGAGAGGTCACAAAAGGGCAGTTTAATAAATGTAAAGCTGATCAATCAATTATGACAGACCTGATGTAAGCCACCAGGAAGTGAAGAACAGGTGCACTTCCCTCGCTCTCTCCTTGCTGCCATGACAACGCCAGCTCTGTGTCAGATACCGCCATGACGACAGGCGTGGTGGGGGGGGAAGGGGGCATGCACATTTCTAATGGCACAGAAAGCGATTGAAGTAAGTGAAAGATATTAACAATACTACTGTAGAAATAAAAGCATCCACTGTATTACTCACATATTCTTACCATGTGAAGCAGTGCCGATGTCTCTGGGCATGCTGGGTCTACCCTCCCCTGCCCAACCATATGCTCCAACACTGACTCTGTACTTGGTGTTCATCTTTAAGTTAGCAATGTCCACATCCTAGAAGACGGCATATGGGGGAGTGGGGGATTGAGATACAGATAGATATGGAAAAATAAGCAAAACAGTAGATCAGCAAGGATGGTTGGAGCGAAAGAAGATGGAGAAAAAAGACAGAAGGTAATAAGAAAAAGGAGAAAAGACAGTGGAAGAAGATTAAATTACTGATTAGGGATTCTTTCTGAATGTAAGTGGGAAATAAGTCTTATCCAGCTATAAATGTCAACTGTGAGATGAAAGCAGTGATAGGGTCGTATTCAGTAAAAAAAAGACTAGATGATACTCACAAAGCTTGCTTGTCCGTCAAATTGCCCCTTTGAGAAAATAAGAGCAGAGGTATCGATAAATGTTTGAGTATCACAGCGAGCACATTGTTATTGTTAGTCAATATACTGTCAATAATGTAGTTTTACATGTTATAGACAGTGATTTTCTAAAATCTTGCTAGATTTGATGATAGTGGATTTAACAGTCGTTGTCTCCAATTATTAAAGGATAAGGCTTCAGTTATTCAGTATCTTATTGTCAACAAAACCCATGAAAAGATCAAAAGAAATAGCCAATTTGTTCAAGACATGAACCTTAAAAAACAGGTGAAGTAAAAATTATCATTAAAAAAAAGACTAAATAACATCCTGGGCACTGTAGTTTTTAGCATATGCCACTGAAGTTAAATGTTCATTCGCTCTAGACTATTTTCAACTGCGGTTTAATACACATTTGGTGCTCTAGTATTAAGGCAACGAAGGCACATGTGGCATCAGCTTTAAATAAACTAAAGTGCTCTTGTTCACCATAATGAAGCAACTTGTGGAGCTTTACGCAATTTGTTGATAATATGAAAAACATACTGCCAGCCTTGTCTTCTCAATATTTGTTTTTTATTTATTTTCAGGCTAATGCTAATAATGTTTTTCTGTGTAGTGATAAATCAGCACTGCAAAGATTTTGCTGGCTATCACAGCTGAGATTTCCCACACTGCCAAAATTGGATGTTAGAGGCAGATCAAAGTTTGATGGTGATTGTAATGGAAATAATTCCGTCTTATTCCATCAAATCAGCACAGTTAGAAGTCAGTGTACTCACAGTGGTTAGCATGTCCAAGCTTAGAGGCACCTCCATCAAAGACGCTGCACCCAATGGACGGCCATTCCTCACCTCTGTATAGAAGACCTGAAAAGCATACAGTCAAAGACAGACACATTCAAGCACATATTTATATGAAATAATGTTAGATTCTTTCAGTAAAAGAAGCTGGGTTTGGCCGCAGGGGCAGATCTAAAGAATGCTTGTCCAACGCAGCTGCCACCCGAGCTTGGTGTCAAATGCTGTCAAATCTATTGCATTAATTTAGATAAATGTTTAAAAAACAGAAAGTAATTAAATTATCTGTTATGGCACATGAAAAAAGATAAGAAAAGGATCTTTAATCCCACCTTTAGATATTTCTACTGAATGCTGTGCATGTAATGTTTATGCATTAAAATATCTTCATTTGAAGGCTTCCCCAAGCAAATATTTGTGAAATATATGTGATTGTTAGCAATTAAATCAGCATATATTTCTGCCACTCCTTAAGGCCTCCATGCCACCCTCTCATCACCCCATCAATATTTCTCTAGATCTGGCTGTTTGGCAGGCGTAAATGTCATGTTTGTTATGCTGGATTACAGCACCACTTTTTAACCTTTTAGCTCTTACAGTATCAATGTAAACACGGCATAATGAGGAGGAAATACTATGAGACAAACAGGATTACATATGAACTTCCAAAGTGATTGGCCAAATGAACACACATGTTTATCTGTGAGTCGTGGGGAAGCTAGGTATCTGACTAATCCTCTTAGTGCGGACATATGGTCAAAAGCAGAGCGCACACAGTCATACTGATCCACACTTAATGGTTGACTCAAAACAAACACACGAGAGGAAGGAAGTAGGAAAAAAGGAAGGGGGGAAGGAAGTAGGGAAGGACGGGAAGGAAGGGAAGGACGGAAGGAAACTAGGTTCTGGTAAGGCATTCTATCTCATTCAAAAAACTCTTCAAAAAGTTTTGTCAGAATGAAAAAAGAAAGGAAAAGATTTCAGCATCCAGTAAACTTCCAAATGTACAAACCAAAAATTACATAAATTTATGTCCATTATGTTCTACCAAGAAAAAAAAATCTAACTTTAGTTCTCAAAGTGAGCCTAGAGTGAAGAAAAAAATCTGTTGACAAGCTGCTAATAATTTGTGACCACATCCTTCAGAGACATATTGCCTCGGAAAAAGCATACATTTGGCAGTGAAGGGGTTCTGTTAAATTACCAGAAAAAACACCTTCAAGGCCACCCTGCTGGACAGCGAATTTGACGGGCACTTTAAAAGCAGGAAAAAATCAGCCGCTTGCAGAGGGAAGTGGGCATCCATTCAGAAAAAGGAGAATAAATATGATTAACGACACATCTGAGAAGTTTTTTTTTTTTTTATGTTTGCCAGGTTGAAAACTTAAAAGAGTTCTCAAAAGCTGTAGGTGTGTGTGTTTTTAAGTTTGCTGAATATTTTCTTTTCCTCTTGGTTCTGAGCAGTTTTTCTTTTTTTTTCAAAAGAGTTCAACATTAAATTTACAATCAATGATATAGACTGTATGGAGCATCTTACCTTAATATCAACAATATGTAGGCAACTGGAACTTACAAGATGTATCCCATTACATATGTCACTGAAAGATCCTGTTTCTGTACTGTTGTGTAAACTCACCAAATTCTGCTTGAATATACCAATAAAATAAAGTTGAAAAATAATTGTGAAATCTAATATTGATAGTGACCGCAGCTTGTTAATATTGATCACACATTTTATAATGACCTGAAAATAAGAATTGTTTAGTGCATCCTCATCCACGTAGTCCACCATGTTTCTACAGTAGGCCAGAACGGACAAACCAAACACTGGTTCTAGATAAGGAGTTTCATAACCACCATAGTTTCTCATACATGTTTGAATGGCTGAACTGTATTCGGTTCACAGTTCAATGCCACTAAATCCTACACACTGGTCCTTTAATGTAAAATCACTTTGTGGCTACCTTGTATCCAGTGATGGTGCTAACGTGTCGCCGGGGCATCTTCCATCGCACACTAAAGGCAGTGCAGTTGATTGTCTCCAGCTGGATGTCCAATGGGGGACTCAGGCGATCTGAAACACAAACACAGAGACATAATCAGTGAGCGAAACAGAAGACATACAGCCACCAACTGTTTATTTATTAGCTGTGATAGATTATTGATCCTGACAATTAATGTTAAATGTATATGGCAGCTTGTGACCAGTATATACAACGTTATGAGATTCTTTAGCATCTCAGTATCTTACAATCTTGTTTTTTGGCAAAAAAAGCCACTATTAGCACCAAACAGCAGACTGACAAAGTTAGTGAGAGTGAACACAGTGGAACCAAAACTTACATTCACCAGGCGGCCAGATATTAAACTCCAAATGAATGTTAATGTTACTCTGTATATGGTGGAAGTTTAAATAATTCAACTTTTTTGCTAACATTCATCAATTAAAATATAATATCAGTGTTGTTTTTACAGCTTGTTTCCAATGCCCCCGTTATTCTTTTTGTTTAATACAGACAAAATACAGCAACCTTTTTGAACGCACCTTTACAACTTTAATCCTACAACTTCGTTCATGTCAAGCTTATTTTTTAGATAAAGAATAAGATAAAGAATATAAATAGAAAAAAAAACTTTTAGTTTTCAGAATAAGTAGTTACAATTGCCAGATTATTACATATAAACGCATTGCCAATGGTTTTAACAAAAGCAAATCTTTCCAAATAGCCATCAAAACAGAATCTACACTGTTTTACCTTAGTCTGTTTAAGTGTGTTAAGAGGGTAAAAAGAACCATTTGAAATTATATAACCTGTAGCTCGATAATATCAACTGACTCTGATTTCAAATGTCATTATTTTTATGGTCTGAGTTATTAAATCCTGGGTGGTTCTGTGACACTTCAAGAGATTGTGATTGCACATCCAGTGTCCAACAGTGGCCTGAAAACACTTGAGAAGCCTCTTATAGAAGAAAGACAGAGATCGAGCTATAGAGGTATAACTCATCAACACCCCTGATGACCTACTGTATATGAATTATCTGCCTTTAATGGAGAAACAGAAGCAGACAAGGACCCTTACGGCCTCAAGTCATACACTTTATGCCATTACATCTACACAATGCTATTTACAAATTATTTATTTGCAATTTATGAGTAGAGTCTTATGAAAAAATATGTATTATCCCGGCACAGTGCACAGTTACCTATTGGTTAAGGTAAAGAAGATCTGTACTCAGTTGGGATTTAGTTCAAAATATTAGCCGTAATTGACCTTCCCTTTTTAAAGCGACAAAAGAGTAGAATTCCCTGGCATAGACCAACACGGGGATCAGACAAAAGTTAGTATAGCAAAGCAGATCTGTGTAAATTGAAATCTCATGTAGCTACAGCACTGCTCTTTTCCACTTCCTTTTTCTCTCCTCTTTATTTCTTGTGACTGCCCTCATCCACTTCCTGTGTCGACCTCTCTCCTGTCCTCCTGAATCCTCTCCTGTCGGCATCTCCCCTGCTTTCGCAAACCCTTCACCCTGCTCTTTCATCCGAGCGGGTAATTCAGTATGTCAGCTGAATTCCCTGATCGTCCATATCTCCCCAGGGGTGTGGCCCGGTGAACATACGGGTGAGCTGAACTCACAGAATTAGAGCAGATAGAGAAGGGACTTCTTAAATCATCATCTTTATGTCCATAAGCATACTGAAGCTTACAGAGGTGCTTCATGTGTAAGGACGAAGTGAAACTGATATCTCTAATCAACGCAAATCCTGAAAATCTTGACATCAATCCCTGAAACAGGTGGATTATTTTTGACAGGTATAACTAGATTCTGGTGTGTCTCCTCCTTCCAGTTCCACAAAAGCTTTTTTTAAGCAAACTGCATATTTTGAGCAACATTTCCCTGAAGCTGGAGTTTGGACACTTTTAATATTGTGAAAACACAACCTTCCAAACCAATCTGCAAGATACTCTGTGACCACTGTAACTCTATAGCTCTGGGTGCATCCCCAAGAGAAGGAGAGTGGTGTCTGTATTTAAATACACTCCAGAATCACTTGGCTCCAACTCACCTAGAGCTGGAGATTAAATCTAGTGATGAGGGGCCAGATATATTTTTTTTAAATGTAACTGGATACAGGGGGCACATCAGCTACTGTAACTTCCACTGAAACTCCATTAGACTGGGCTGGTTGGTAATTCAATTTCAGGCCCTGCCTACTCCATACATTAATGGGACATGTGAGGCCAGATTTCCCAGGTTAGGTCAGGGGCAAATGGCTGCAAAGTACACTGGAGACTACTATTCAGAAAAAGGCCACAAAAGGCCACAATGTCCCAAAACCATGTACGCTCATAAAGCCGAAACTCCATCATCTCATATAGTACACATCAAGGAACAGACTTTTTTTCTCAGGAAATTGCCAAAATTGCTCTCTAATCTGTGACACTGAAACAAATCCACAGTGAAATTTCCTTTAAAAGTGACTGAATCAAAGGTTGAGGTATCGTCCAAATAATACCTTGACTAATGCTGGACTTAGGAGGCCAATACTGGTATCAATATTTGAATATTAGACATAAAAATCCAATAAACACATACTGGCTGATAGTAATTTTTATTTATTTTTGAATTGCTTGTCAGTGCTCTCTGATGGACAAATTGTAATGGGGACACTTTTTGGCATTTCTCTTCTCCAATTGCCTGTAACTTATTGACTGCTACATAGACTCCAATAACAACATACTGTATCTGCAAGACACTAATGTATTAACCGGAGATCTGTTTCAAAACATGCAAATACAGACTCTCTTTTTCCATGGGGTATTTACAAGAGCTTTAAGCTGTTTGGACACTAAGCTTTTAATTTATTTGGAGATTTCAGTACCTTTTGCACTTTTATGGCAAACAATCAAAAAGGTGCTCTTATAATACTCACTTGATCAACAATTACCCAATCTTAAATTCAGATGTCTTCTTTCAGAACAAACCACCTGTTCTACCGCTCTGATTCTATGTCTCCACTTTCAGAGTCAGTCGTGTAGAAGTGCTGCTCTTTCCAGGTCTGAGTCATCCAAAAGTGAATGACCACTAAGACACATGCTGTCGTGCTGCTCTTCAGCACGGCTTAGGGAATAATATATAAACACTGACTCTGAAAGGGGGGAGAGTGTTTATCATAATGGTTATATTTTCATTGTATTTCACAAACAATATTGATGGTACTGAGTGACATTTTATAGCAAGTGTAAGACATCAAGCTACTGAATCTCTCTATAAATAATTCAGTTACTGATTCTAACTGGGCATAAAGCTGTCAAAACCCTGAAAAGAGTAAGACCACCTTGGGGAGAGACGTCTTTCAATCTTAACTCTTTCCTTGTACTATCAGCTTTGTTTTGTAAAGACTGATGTGATTCATCTGGACATGGAGCCCTGGTGACATTCCCTCAGAATGAGGCCTGAAAGACCTCAAAACAGAAAAACAAGTACAAATGTCACTGGCAGTCATGAAGACTGAACTACAGCCGCCCTCTGTGTGGCAGTCCCAACTGTGGTGAGTTTTCTTGTGCTGACAGACAGATGTAATAGTTGGCCTGCCATGGCCTGTGGGTCCGAAAGAAGGAGGGAGGGAGAAATACGACAGACAGTCAGAGAGACTGACAGCGGGAGAAAAAGGAAGTGATGGAAATAGAGAAAGAGGAGGAAAACGGAAGAAACTGGGACGGAAAAAGTGTTCAGGGTGACAGGACATCAAAGAAAGATAGAGACAGGGGGAGAGAGAGAGTAGAGACTGAGGAGGTGACAAACTCAGCATCCAGGGACTTTCTGCCCTAAGGAGCACTTTGCCAAGTTTGCTGATGGGTGTGCTGCTGGTCTACAGCTGAATATTTCCCTTTCTGTCTCTCTTTCTTTGACACATATTTATATATTTTGTAAAATGTAAACATTATATGAACTGTTTTTATCAAAACAAAGAATGTTTCCTCTTAGCCATGAAAGTCCTGCCTAAAATCTATCTGTATTTTAAGTGTTAAAATCACAGTTACTGTGGACAATTTGCAGCTCACTGATTCTGGGTAAAATGCAGTTTTGTGCTGCTGCTCAGTGACTAAAAGCACCTTAAAGAAAGAGAGGAGGGGGCCTTTTTTAAATGGTCTATAAACATGTTGCTCAGTAGCTTTTGCTTTAAAATAATCACTTTTAGGTTGTATAAACAGGGATACAGTGGAGATTACATGATGATAATGATAATAATGGTAGTGTTTTTTCCTTATGATGTACATCCAACAACCAATTTTCTTACATTTATCTCCACAATCATCGAGCTTTAATGACTTTACAAGTTTAAAACTGTCACTTACATTGCTGTGATCTCTGTTTAAGGTGAATTAATGCTAAAACGTTTTTAAGCAGGCTTAATGATGTTGGTGTAATCAAACAAATGGAAAGATGATCACACACAAACGCTGCCCTCATCCACAATGTTTCAATAAAAGTATTGTCATTGTTATTACTTGTCAAATCTGGTATAAAGGTCAGTGGGTGAACTTACCAGATCTCCGAACATTTGATCTTCTTGCACAAAAGCAAACGCTGGCTGTGCATATCGCAAAGAGAAGTAAGTATAAAAGACTCCTTTCTTTACATGTAGATTCCATGTCTTCTTCTGGTCGAAAGTTTAAAACGGTCAAATGTTCATTTTATCACACAATCAAACGCGCTTCTAGCTGTAAATGCAACTAATCCCTTTGCTGACAAAATTCTTATCTGATACAAATCGTTATTTTATCCAAATTCTGGCGCAAACGCCATCCAAAGACAGGCAGAAACTGCCCGAGAGGAAAGGGCAGCTACGGTTTGACACTGATAAGATTACAGTCTGCAAAAGATCAGTGGGTTGGACACATTAACGGACGGACAGACAGCCACTGTGCCCCAACAGGCGCGCTGATAGACGATGGAGAGGGTCGTACCGACAATTCGCGCGTAATGCGCAACGAGCAACAACTACAACAACTGAATGGTGAATGGCACGATCATTTTTGCGCATAAATCTCGCTTTCGTGTCACGCTCCGGTCCGCGTCTCAGACAGCAGATGAGACGGACAGCGAAGTGCAGGAACGTGGGGCCATTTAGAGCTAAGAGGATAATAAGCCTCTAATCCGCACACTGGACACAGATGGAGAGCGTGTCTTGACGCAGAAGCAGGGGAGCCGCACAAGCAACAGACATCCATAAAAGTATACATCGGTGTGTGTGTGTGTGTGTGTGTGTGTGTGTGTGTGTGATTGACTGACTGGGTGTACAACAATGGCTAAAGGGGGCAAAACAATTAATCCAGTAATTAATGTCCCCGAAAGCAACTGTTAATATGTGACTAACCTCCCAGCTGATTATGTGTTATTTAGTTTGGTCTCAACATAGTACACTGTCAATCCAACATTTATTAATAAAAGAAGTAAGCTATGATAACTTATTCCCCCCATAACGTTTGAATCACTCACTCCCATTAATAAAACCCAACTAAAAAATGAATTGTCGAAGTAATAACTCAGTTGTTTTGTGTGCACTTAAATTTGTGCCATATTTTAAGTATATCATTACGAAAATGTAAGCCCTAAAGCCCCAAAATGAATTGGCTACTGATAGAAAAATGCTGAGTTCATAGTGCTCATGTAACTCTCATGATTTTGTACCTTGTTTTGCAGAAACATTCAAAAAATGGTGATAATCGAGTAATTATAAAACAAAATGTAATAATTTGCTTTAGTGGAAGAAAATTGCATAAATTCAATTTAAGTGGTAACATTTGTATAAAGAAGATGCATTTAAGTTAGCCTTACTTTATTCAGACAGATTCATTCTGTTAACACATTTTAAATAAGTCTGCAGAAATGCTGCATGTGAATGTAATGTACTTACTTCCTCAACCAGTTTGAGTTGAACAAACTCATCAGCTTTAACAGTGTACAGTTTGGTGCAATTTTCTTATCAAGGAGAACTAGGAAGAACAATGTAGGCACAAATAGTAGCAGGCTCTATTAACACTGATTAAGGAAAAATTCTAAGTTGAAGAGCCACCACTATGATGGACTTGATGAACATGCAGTTTTATCTATTACATGTTCTGCACAAATCAGCGTCAAACAGTGCTGTAGCCAGTAATTTCCCCCAAACTTTTCCTCTAGGTCACATTTTCAACGTTTTTCTGAATTATTATATCACATTAGAGGCACCATGGCAGAAAAATCTAACCAGCAGCCAGGAACCAGGCTGATTTGTTACTTCATTTTCATTTTCACTCCGCTGGTCTTCTACTTAGACCTAATTTTCTGAGCCAGGCATATTCTACCTTTATGCGAAATGCAAATGTAAAATCCAGCAGTTACTCAAGCCATCAATTTACACAGAACAATTTGAAAATCCTTTTATCTAATTCTGATCCAATGTTTTTTTCCCTGACCCCTACAGTACAAAAAGTCTTTCCAAGGAGAGATTTTCTAATCTTTAAGGTCTGCAATAACTACTGCAGAGACCCTTGGAGTAGTTTTACACGTTTATTGTAGTAGTCTTCATAATGACTCATTCTGCACAGTAGCACAGATCACACCACCCATTCATGAAAGCCTTACAGACAGCGTGAATTGCAAAGGTAGAATACTGTTATTAAACTGAGGCCAAGACCGATTGGAGGTGAATATCTGAGCTGTAATGATGAGATGAGTTAGGGCATGACATGACGGCTCTCTTTTTTCCATATGACCACTGACACTATGTTTTAATGGTAAATGGCTTTGCAATTTGCCTCTCATTCACACAGACCCTGATGGCAGCAAGCAATCATGCAAGGTGCGTTTATAAGCGGTATATAAACATTTAATGTACTGGTCAACATTGCTAATGGTGCAGAAACAGGTTAAGAGTGACAATACAATGACAATACAATATAACACACGTAACCATGTAAAAATGTCTTCATAAGAAAAGTTATTGTTGTTGATAAATATTGTACATCAATAAATACTTAAATGTCATTTTATCTGCACACAACTACATTATAATCTGTTTTAAACAATTAAATGTTAATATATTATATATGAATGCTAAATGAGGAGCTGAAATAAAATGTTACCCATACAATTATCGTTGGATTCTGTAAAAGTTGGCCTCAAAAGTCTGGTATCAGCCGAGCTATCAGTATCAGAAAAATGCAAAAACGGAAACGTTTAGAGTAAGTAGCAGGTAAGTAGAGATAAAAATCTAATCAGAAGCACCAACACTCATTGCAAGTCAAGTTTTTTTTTTTTTTAAATCTTCATCAGTTTTCTGGTGTTGTCCTCCTTTATGATATGCAGCCATCAGTTCACCAAAAGATCAACACTGCCAATCATAATCAAAGACCTACAGGATGAACACATCATCAGATCAGTCTTACTGAGAGAGCAAGAGTTAATTTCTGTTCCACTTTCTTGCATTATTTTCCACATTCACATGTGCCACTTCTATTAATCATATGCTCTCTGGGTCACAGAAGCAAGATGTGAACTGATTATCAAAGTTTCTTCACCTGCTATTATCAACCAAGCTCAAAATATCACACTAACAGCCAGAGCAGAGGGTGAAGGGAGTGAAATATCACCACTGTTTTGGAGAAACTCTAAAGACAAAAGGAAGCAGATTTTATGCAAAGATAACCATGTAATGTATAAATTTGATGAAAATGCATTCTCTGTTATATGTTTTCATTGTGTTATTTGACGTAACAGTGCTCAGTAGACTTACCTGGCCCCCCTTGGATAGTGTTGTCCTTATATTTTTATTTTACACGCTACCAGGATTCAATTTGTGGGTTTAAAATAAATATTGGACTCATAAAATGCCAGGTCCAAGGTTGGCAACTGGAGCTTGTGACGCACCTGAAAGAAATTCAGCAGTAAAGGCTCCAATGGTGTGTTATAAGGTCACATTATCATATGTTTACACAAATTCAGATTCTAGTAGTTATTTTAGGTAAACACTGATCCTGTGTATACTGTATTTTGGCGTCATAAAAAGAAAATAAAAAAATGTTTGCTACTACCAATAAATATAGAAAAAAGTGAGATAAACCAAAATGAGTTGTAGGCCTGTTTAAGTGGATACCAAAATTATAACAGAACTTCCTACACTCCATAATGTAACAACTGAGGATGATTATGAGGTTTAGTGAGATAATGAGAGTGTGTCCGAGATGATGGTCACTGTGTTGCATGAATGGGGAACCCAACTCACTGGTTCCATCTCCTGGACAAACACAAACACACAAGACATGACGGAGAGACTGAAGGGAGAACAGCAACACAAACAGAAACGATGCACTGGCAGGTGCATCCATAACCCAAACAAAACCCACATCTCTACACATATAATTGACATACAAACAACTAGCACATCTATCTCCATAACAGAAATAATAACCTAACAAAACTGAGCTAACTTAACCAAGAGGGAAATACAAGGTAGCTTTCAAATTAGACTTCCAAGTAAAGACATTATTTATTTTTCAATTCAATAAAAATCAAGCAAATAAGCCAGACTAGTGGTTCAGAAAATTGTTTCCCTCAATAAGAAAAACAACAGCCTGTAGTCAAAAGCATGCAGCTTGATTTGTCAGATGTTCGGAGAGCTAATTTGTTCTTTCACACCAGACTACGAAGATCATTAAAAATATGATGATAAATTGATTTGAGTCTCAATTTCAATCAGTAGTTCTCTCAAACTTCAAAGCTTTAATATCCATATATCCACATCCACATTCTGAAGATATATTTCATGTTAACACATTGTGTATAGATCATAATCATAACAATTGATTAAAAATAAATAATACAGCATTCAGTTGAAGTCTGTAAGTCATTGTATTTAAACAAGAGATAAAGAATGAATATCAGACCTCACCACTGTGCTGTTTAATGCTGTAAAAGTGTAACACACATTGCTATTAACAGTGGTGAACAGCATCCACTAGTGGCAGCATTTAAGCCCTACATGCACGTGTGTGTGAGCAGTCAAAACATCTGGAGGTTCATTGTTTTCAACCTGGTTTGTAATCTGCATTAGAAATTACTGAATGTAATGTTCACCACCTGTAATTCCTCAAATCAGACCAGATCAAATCCTTTTGGTTTTACAGTCACCCCAGCAGGCAATAATGTCACACTTATTACAAAACTGGGGACAAACATGGAGTAAATTGTCTATTTGCTTAAACATCCTAACAGTTATTGACCCCACTTTAACATTTCTGAGCAGACTCCCAGCGGGTCAGCTCAGCAGACGGCATCCACTCTCAGCCTGAGGCTCCAGCAGCACCAGAATACATATGGTGTGGATTACTTTCTAAGCACCACTGTGGGTCCCCGTGGAGGTGATTTTTACCATGAATACAATCATCCTATCCAACACCAAAATCTATGAATAGCGATAAAATCATCAACAAGGAAACTTCTTGAGCTCAACCAACAATAATTCGATGATTTGGTGCAACAAGCATGACAGTAAATGTATATCACTCCCTATGTTGTCTGAAAAAGTGTATATCATACTGCTACGAGTACAGTGACAAAGGAAATCACGGTTATAGACCAGTTGATTTGCTAATAACTGGGCAAACATTTCAGATTATTTCCTTATTCTTGGCAACTTTCCATTTTAAATGCTAATGTGATGCAAGTCCACATCCTGAATTAAATTAATCCAAAGTGACTTGAGCGCATCCTGCTTAAAGTTGACTTTAAGGGCTAAAAGGTGATCAGTTTCCCCTGACCCTGTGCCATAACCCAGGCAGCTGCTTGGGGATATATACAAGCTGGCTGTACATAGCATAAGTCAAACAAGAAACATGTAGGCTGATTAATGCTAATGTCAGCATGCAAACATTTGTAACACTAAGGCTGACGGGAATGTCGATACTTTTGCATGTATTTGGTCATAATCAAATGATTGGAAAAATTTACCTATTTGACTTGATGATGACCTGAGGGGGACATGAATGTGCGTACAAAATTTCATGGCAATCTTTCAAAAACTTGTTGAAACATTTCATTCAGTAACACAAATGTAAGGCTCATGATGGTGCTAGAGGAAACATTAGGGGATCACCAAAGTCATTAGGGTTCATCCTCTGGGGACCATGAATGTCTGCCCCAGATTTCATGGCAATCCATTTAGTAGTGGCAATCCATTTAGTAGTTGCCATCCCTATAACCAGCTAAAAACAAGCACAGATTCTCCTCCAAGTATGAGATTAAAATACATGTAAATGTAGAAAACAGGACTACAGGACACATTATCGCCGATCTCCCCACTCCTCCTGTCAGCGTGGAGAGTCAGGATATAATTTTTTCTGCTAATTACTACACCGGAAGCCATGTCCCAAATCAGACGTCCATTCCAGCTGTCAACTCCTCCCTCCCATAAATCGATCTGGGGCAGGAGTTTCATGTTGGCCGATAATGAGGGGTGAAATGACCCGTGCAATTAGCCCATTACATGTGAGACAAAATCAGCCCCAAATATGGCTGACAGACTCAATTTGCAGATCAGTCCCCGATTAGCCCTCAGTCCTTTTAAGTAGGGAAACGGACATCTGTTCGGTGTATTTGCTGTAATTGCTTGAGGTTGCTGTATTTCCATACAGTTAAGTGAGCAAGTCAGTGGAGTGGGAAGCCTCTTCTGAGTGATTACAAAAAAGACAACTGTTGCGCTGTATGACATATATTTGGAGCATATTTGGTTGCTCAGATGGTTTTTGCATGTTCAGTGTAGTCAAGTGATTACAATACAATGTGGCCAACATGTGTGCTCGCACTGACACAAACATGATTCTTCATGAAACATTACACTTCAAGGGTTGCATAGAAGTGTATGTGTGTTTACGGATGTGCATGTATGGATACACAGTATGTATTTAACATTCAACCTTGTAAAGAGGAAACAGCTTTACTCAGTTCAGCTGGAGAGCAAACATGAACATTTCTCTTCTTTCTGGAAAGATTTTGCTGGGGGAAAAAAAGTGTTGTGTGTATAGTGGTATATTTTATCCACAATAATCACTGCAGAAGAAAACAGAAAATGAAGGATAATCCTGCTTCTTAATAACAAATGTGACTTCTTCTTGTTAATAATAATGAACAACACAGTAGAGAAAGATCTACACATTTGCAGGGATTCAATATGCCTGAGCGCATAAAGTCCTTGATTGGCAAACCTCGGGTGGTTGTACTGGGGTGTGAGTGACAGTCAAATGCAGCTGGTTGTCTATTTGTTCTTTAAAAATACCAATATTTGAGCACCCTGGTTGCTCAATTTGTAGAGCTGGCACCCCATGTGCTGAGTCCTTGCTGCAGCGGCCATGAGTTCAAATCTGACCTGTTGCACTTTGATGTGTGTCGTCCTCTCTCTCTCTCTCTCTTCCCTTTTCCTGTCCACCTCTCCCTCGCATATTATGTATATGGGGCGGTGGGTGGGGGCCAGTAGGGTGGCCAACAATTGAGTCAGGGAGATGGTGCCCCTAAATGAAACACTCCAATGCATCAGTGATTGCAGTGACGGTATAGTCACTTGTGTGGTCATCTCCATTTAACTGAACTGGACCTTGTTTCATCTGGACCTTGAATGGTTTACATTATCATAGATGTATGCATTATTTGTTCTGCTTACCCTGAACAAAAACTCTTAAAACATTACAGCTGTGTGAGTGCAGTGAGTTTTACTGTGGTGTAGACTAGGGTGAAATAAACAACTTTTAACTACTCTTGGAAGGAAAGCACTTGACACGCAGGCACATAAACTCCACAGATCACTTTCACTCATCTTTGCTCTGGTTTCAATCATCAAACACAGTTTCGCTCCTAAACCTCTGCCTTGTTATGTTCTCCAATAAAGATTATGATGGAATTTGCTTTACAGTCTCATTGATATTATTTCACATGAGTAACGGAGGGGGAAGTTGAGTTGAGGTCACAATGTGACAACAGAATGATTGAATCTGTTGCTTAATTCAATGTAAAGTTGTCAGTTTCTTATAGACACTCACTATGGCAGTAAGCTGATCCATATACAGTTTGTTGTGTGTCTTAGAAACATTATATCATAGAATGCTACTTATAAAAACAGGCAAATAATCAAACTTCAAACATGGAATTATTACCTAACAAGAGAATCTTGAAACTGCATGATGCACTTCGACTGATTTTAACACAAATATCTTTAAAATGTTCTTTTGCACCTTATGAGCCTGTGGTTTTATTCTAAACTCTAGCCAAAAGAAATACTAACACTTTGCTCTGATTATGCAAAACTCTGCAACCAAAATAATGTATACTCAAGTTAAACATTGAGTTCCTGTAATGGATATCAGCTCAGACTCCCTCGATGTTAAATGTCATCTTCTCATCAACTGCAAAACAGCGGGATTTCAAGCGCACTGTGGTTATAAGTAGCAACACAATCTATTCAGTCTGTTTTGACTGGCTGATTAGAAACACATTTGCCATCCAATATCAACCAAACACAAAAAGCAGGCCTGGGGAATTAGGACCATTGTTAGTGGAAAGTGTGAAACTTCTCTCTCCCTCTCAGTCATCTGAGCCTCTTTCATAACAGACCTCCTCTACCCTCATCAACTCTGGACCTCAAGTTCAATCATGAGTTTGGACTCCATCCCTCTGTGTGTGTGCAGTCTGCATGGGTGGAGACAGGAAGAAACAGAGGATGGACCATCACACGTCACCACCACTCCCCATCTCCCCTGTTAGACCTCTCCTTCTCCTCCTCACGGCTCAGTCAGGATTGATGGTGAGAGGGGATGAACGGGAGTGAATGCATTGTGAAACCGGTTGAAGGACTATAACCTGGGAGTGAATTGTGTCTTCCAAGCGTCATTGTATCCGTCGGTTTGCAAACAACTTCATAAGGAAGTCTGCTTGGCTTTGCATTGTGCGCTTCTGCCTTTGATTTCGTGCCTCCTTGGATGTTGCGCCACGCTGCACAGCATTTGCCAGCTGACATGTGAGGGATAGCGTGCAGTTTACAGTACGCAGGCAATAACTCATTAATCCTCAGCGTTTTCAGTGCCAGGAACCCGAGCTGATGAGTGCGCCCCACCTCTTCCTCTCCAAATAATAATCTTCAGTATGTTGTTTACCGCGTTTGCCAGATGATACCTGTTGATTTTGCATCGCGCCATGTCCTTCTGTCGGACTGAAGTGGACAATGAAGTTATGGGATAGCCTAACCACTTGTTTGATACTGCTGAGCGCCGTGCACGCCAGCTCGCTGCTCCGGAGCCTACAGCAGTCCACGTCCACCACCAAGAGGAGAGGGCGCGCCGCCGAGAGTCCCCTGGAGCTCCCGCCGGTTCAGATCCGCCTGTCTGTCACTTCCCCGGGCATCAGCCGTGCTCAGGCGGATACAGCAGACTGGGAAGAGACGCTGGCTGGAGGAGAACAATGTAAGTGCCAGTGGTTTTGTATGGAGTGCCCAAAGTGCCAAAAGAAAAACACCCTGTAGTAATTTGCTCTCAGCAGGCTTTCTGTGTCTTGAATTCTTTGTACTTCTTCAACAAATAATGACATTGCTGTCAGTGTTCAATAGAAGTTATAAAACAGAGTGCATGAGTGAGGGGAATCTCATAAAACATGCTTATTAGTCTGTGACAGAATTGTCAACTAAAGATTATTTTATTATCGATGAATCTATTGATTATTTCTCATAGTTTAGTTATTAAAAGGTACCTGTAGCAATTTCCTAGCAATTTCCTAGAGCCGATGGTGGCATCTTCAAATTACTTGTTTTATCTGTCTGCAACATAATTATACTCAGTTTACTGTCAAGAAGGATAAAGAAAAGCAGCAGTCCTCACAAGTAAGAAGTTGGAACCAATTTTTGCAAAAGATTACTTCACAATTAAGCGATTGTCACAATAGTTGCTAATTCATTTTCTGTCAAATTCACTAATTGATTATTTATTTTAGCTCCAGAGCCATGTGCCAAGAGGGTAGCATACATAGTGGCTGCTGTGTCTTTAATACACTCAACAACTGTCTTTAAGAATTAAGAATGGGATCCATTTGTAACTTGGATGAATCAGTTCAAAAGGAATTCCTTTGCAGAAAAAAAACGTGTACTATTTCTACATTTGTGTGTGTATTTTCTGACACAACACTCCATCTGTCCAATAGTCAGTGTGGTGTGTTCAAGTGAAACAATATGTGCTGTCCAATATGATACATCCTTGTAAGAGTGCCATTACTCTTAATGTGTTTCAGACACCATGGAGGAGCTCTCCCTAAACAAGTTTGAAGATGTGGTGGACTTTATAAAAGTGACCATTAGTAGAATACGGCGCTCCTCCTCATCCACCGTGTCCTCATCTACCTCCTCCACCACCTCCTCCCTATCCAAAGAAAACTTGAGCAGCAGGACTCGACGAAGAAGGGAGAGGAAGAAGGGAGCGAGTCAGCAGAGTGGTAACGGAGGAAGAGGAGGAGCTAGAGGGGGAGAGACAGGGAGGAAGAGTAGGGGAAGAGGAGGAAATGGACGAGGACAGGGCTGTGTGCTCAAACAGATCCACCTCAATGTGTCAGACCTTGACCTGGGCTACCGCTCCAGCGAGGAAATGATATTCAGGTACTGCTCTGGACCCTGCAGGAAGTCCGAAACCAACTACGACAAAATTCTTTACAACCTGGCTCACAACAGGAGGCTTCCTCCCAAGGACACACCCCCTCAGGCTTGCTGTCGGCCAATAGCGTTTGACGATGACCTCTCGTTTCTGGACGACAACCTTGTCTACCACACCGTGAGGAAGCACTCTGCGAGGAGGTGTGGCTGTGTGTAGGGAGTGTGAGCTGGTGTCAGGCCTTGTGTAATTTTACATTCACTCCCACTTAGAAGTGTGATGTTGAGTGTTTTTCCTTCTGATTATTCTCGCTGTGAGGAAACTTTCTGGCATTACGTGGTCAGTAAATAGGGAGAGGAAGTGTCATCACTACAGCTTAAACCCCAAAGTAATGATTCCTAATGGTCCTCTTCTTCTCATAGTTGGCTCAGTCACAATATCCACAGTTTCCTTTATACCATGTTTTCAGTGTGATCTTAAATGTTTCCATGGATGCTCAATCTGAAAGGACTGAAATCAATCAGACACAACGGATGATTCAGCAGACTCACTCCGTCTACTGTATAGCACATGTGTAATATGGAAAAAGTTATACACATATGAAATGTATTTATGAAATCTTGAATCTATTAACTTATTGATATTTATTTTGTTTTTATAAAAGGAATACATGTTATTTATTACTGTAATGTGATATCTCAGTGTGCCAAAGGTTTAAATCAAGTTTGATTTATTTCCATATCAAAGCAGTAAAAGACTGGGTTTACATTGCAAAAGGATCTTTTACACATCAGGAACTTAGGTTAAAGGTGCCTGTGGAGTTGTCGTGTAAACAAAGATAGTTATATTTGTGCATTCAGTGTTTATCACCGTAACACATTGTGTGTATTCTAATCCTAACAAATGTGTTGAGTGCATATCCTTCCTCATAAAAAGCAAATCAAAGCAGATTTATAATATAATATTTTAAACCTCTTTAAAGGTGTATCTAATCGCCCACATGCTAACTCACATGCATGTGCATCCTCAAACAACAAGCGGACCCACTCTTAAAAACATGGTTCATCGCTTCTAGCGGTCAAAAACTCCACAGGACACCTAAATTCTCCCTGAGTATCTTTAAGGTGTCCTGTGGTGTTTTCTTGTAAACAAACAATTTTGCATTGAGTGTTTCCCACCAAAACACATTATGTGTATTCTTGAGATCTAACAAACAAGTTGAATACATTTCCTTCCTCATCAAACATTTGCAAAGCCGATTTAATAAAATATTTTAAGTTGTGCATTGTTCAAATCCATGTTCATTAGCTTGCAGTCTTCTTCTTTGCCTTTATTGCCACATTACTACAATTCTTTGCTTGTTACAGCCACCAGTTCAGCAGAAAAAAACTAATTGCTGTATAGAACTGCTGGTGGTCAGAAACTCCACAGTGAACCTTTAAATTTGAAAACCTTCAATACTATCTAAACGTTTACAATGTGCTACAACTTTAATGTCATTTGACTGCATTGTTTCCTGTTTGTTTTATTAATGAGGTAAGAAAAGCTATATCAAAACATTATGTTCTTGATGTTCTTCATGATTAGAAGAATAGTTGTTCTTCACTGCTAATTTCATGTCCTCCTCTCAGATGTCCTCCCTGCAGCTTTATTTTTATACGGTATTCACTTTTAAATTTTCCCATTTAGTTGTTAATAAATGCATTCTAAACAGTGTAGTGTATTCTGCATCTAATTACTGACAAACAGGATTTAGTGTTTCGACCATTACTCCATGTGGTTATTATGTAAACTGAATAACAAAAATAAGCTGAGGTGAAAACTGAACCTTGAACCTGAATGGTATAGCACAAATTAATCATTGTATTTCTGCCACTTTTTGTGTAAAAGAGGCAGAGGAACAATAGCTTAATAGTGCATTAGGGGTGGACTCGTCTATTGAGTCCTTTGTAGTGTATAAAAAGATGAACAGAATCTGATGTTATCAAATGACAGGAACAGTCATTGAACACAAAGGAAATGCAGTATCCATACCTGCAGTACAGCACAGCATCTATAGTATAAGAATAAAAGGAAGGTGAAGTGGACAATGAGGGATGGAAGACAGATGAATGAAAGACGAGAGTGAAAAGATCTTACAACATAAAGAAAACAACATGGAAGAATTGAGCAGTGGCGTTAAGAGCTAAAGTACATGTTGGAAGAGAGAGGGAGGACAATGAAAAGAGAGTATGATTAAAAGGTGGCGAATATCCAGAGAAGACAATGATGTAGGAGTTAGAGAACATGAGATGAAAAGATGTGTCTTGCTTAACTAATGTGTGTGGTCGAAATCTGATCCATCCCCTGCTCTCTCACATTTCACACCCCTCCGTCTCCTGAGCTGTGAGTCAGTGCAGCCTGGTTCAACAACTACAGGGCAAAACTGTGCAAGCCAAGTCTGGCTTTTTTTTCTTATGCAACTCATTATCTCTATGAACGACACTGTGATTCTCTACACCAGTCATGCTCAGAGTCTGTGATTAATACAGTTTGACAGTAAGGGTTTCACTGATAGATATATTCAGCTCTCCCGTCTACTCTGTGGGCATTATAAGATATTTAAATGTTGAACATATCCCCATGATAACATTATGTTAGTAGGCGTCCGTAGATAGAAACGGGTCATTCTAAGGTAACAAAATCACAATGATTCCTATATTCAGGTGATTTTACACAAATGAAAACATACTTATGAATATTTTTATTTTAAATTAAAATGAGCGTCAAGTTGAATTTTATTTTGAGCTTCTTTACTTTTTGGTCCATTTAGAAATACAGTACACATAGAGTGAGTCAACACTTTTCCACAGCCATTACTTCTATTTCTCCTACTCATTATTTTACTTTCCAAGCCACAGATGATGCAGTTGTACTGAAGAATTAGAGTCAAAAACTTAATGCATAAACTTTTTTTTAAAACACAACACCCACAGTGTGGCTTGGCCAAATGTAATCTGTAGTCTAAAAGGCTACTATGGGACCAATTATATATATTCTTGAGTTAACCATGACGGTGCCGAATGGTTACCGGTCCCAATGTGGAAAATATACATAACAAGCTCAGCAGCTTTAGCTTGAAACCATTAGAGCCAGCTGACAGTCAGAGGATAGCGTCATTAGTTAGATGAGTCTTCTGCTCTTTTGTTCATGGTGTGAGAGGAGCTTGTAATGAAGGATAATGTTGCACCGGAGTGTAATACAACACAAGTGCTAGCGGTTAAAAGGGTGGTGTTCCTAACAGGTGGTAAATACTGGCAGAACTGTACGTGTTGACACATTGATGATACATTAAGAAAGAGTTCAAAGGGTTGGTTCACCTAAATTACAAAATAACAGTTTCTCTTTTACCTGTGGTGGTGTCTAGTAATGAAGATACATTTGGATTTATTTGCCAAGGTTTTCAGATATCTCAATACTATGGAGGTGACTACACCTTTGGTTGTGATGTGCACTGCACTGAAAAATTAAAACATCATCAGCAAAACGTATTTCCAGATGCAATATCCTGGTTCCTCTGCAATATCCGCAGATCTCAAAGTGAAGATGTGAAGTTTTTATTTGGACTACCTCAGTTGTTTGAGTGAAAACTTTTTCATTAAGGTCTGTGGGTAATCCAGAGCAATCACTGTTTCTGGAAAAAAAGATTCTGTTGAATTTTCTAAATGCAGTTTTCGCACTGTGAGTTCTACGACCCAATTCCTTCATGTTCATAGTCTCCAAAATCTCAGAAGAGCGTACATGGATACCTCCAAACAATTTCAAATAAAAAACATTTCAAATTTTTCAAAGATTTTGTAATGTAGGTGAACTGACCCTGAGCTTAAAACAGCCCACCAATTCTTCATTAAAGGTCCACTGTGTAGGATGTAGTGGCATCTAGCGTTGTAATTGCAGATCACTTCACCCTCCCCTTCTTAGCACAAAGGAGAAATTACGGTGGCCATGAAAAATGTGAATGCCTCTATCTATAGCCACTGTTTGGTTTGTCCGTTCTGGGCTACTGTTGGCGACTCCTTGGAAAGTGACCCATATTTGTAGATAAAAACGTCTCATTCTAAGGTAACAAAAACATAACGATTGCTATATTCAGGTGATTATATACTAATGAAAACATACCTATAAATATCATATTCCCTTTATGACAATGTATCATCCTAAATGTTTCACATTGGACCTTCAAGCATTAAACAAAAGCTCATGAAAAATGTGAATTAATGAAAGTAACAAATAATAACATGAAAGCTTTAAATTAATATATTATATGAAAGGCTTATGTGGATATTTTCCATATGGATAATTTTACTGAGTAACTGCTAGAGCAGCTGAGCAGTCAAAGTCCTTTTGTAGTAGTTATTTAGAGTAAAGAGGGCATGTGAAGTTCATTTCTCCCATGATTTCCAAACCAATCTGTTGACACTGCTGTTAACAGTCCACCTCTCAGACTTTCAGGAGAAAAGCCAGCTTCTTTTGCCTCTAAACCTCTAGGTTCATGATGGTTTCAAGCTTTATATTATAAGTTCTACGTGGGAGCTCAAATTCTCATCATTCAATTCAAATCAGTGACCAGCTTGTTTACAAGAGGAAGCAATTGTGGGCAGATCCTTGTCCACCACCATTGTGCCAGCTGGCGTGAGAAAAGATACAAATGATAACTGAAATGTAATTACGGTTGTATCAGACATGTCATGGGTCTTCTTGAGAGATCTGTCAAACCGCAAAAAACTCTTTGTACGACTGTTCTGGAATCTGTCAGTATGACTCAGGCTATGTGACGAGTCAATTGTAAAGACAACCACAGAAAGAGGAAGGATTGGCATTACAGATGAAAACAATACAGCTTCCAATTCAGGACGTATGACGACAAAACAATACTGATGCTGTCTCACCCTGTTTTTAAGATCAAAAGAAGCTCCAAGATCTGTTATCTTCTTATATTCACAACTGATAAAAGTCGTTTTTCTTTTCAGGAGTTCTTTTAATCAGAAATTCTCCCTATCCTTAAAAGCCTGACCGCATAAAATGTAAATAAAAAAGGAGAGAGGTTTGGTGCCAAAGTTCTGCTATATTATAACACACAGTTTAAAGTATAAAGATAACACTAGCATTTTTGTGATTCATACAAGAAACAGGCCCACGACCCGTTCAGTACTCTGAGCCATATTTTAAGAAACACTGCTGTACTGTCATTGGTCTGGCTGCAACACAAAGCAGAGGCAGAGGGGATTAACATGGAGCTGTAACCGCAATGCACTGATCACCGACAACTGGCCTATCGCCAAACCACCAGTCTGGACCACCATCCGCAGGCTCCCCACTCATCACTATTACCACACACACATAGACACGTGGTATCAGTCATCACTAGTGAACTGTAGATGGAATATACAATGATTCACCCAATTGCCAGCGAGATGGAAAGAGAAAACAATCGATACGCTCATAAAACACTATGACATCAGTCTAATGTTTACCAAATTCCTCTATTCTTAAAATGTCAGCTTCTCTTGAAAATGTTTTGAATTTGTTATGAAACAGTCTCAGTTTAATACTGATGCTTCTGTATGATCCACATAAGAACACCAGACCATCAGTGAGCGAAGAATGGCTATTTCTTACCCTTCCACCGGGTCAGATTCACACAGACTCCCCTTGAAATCAATGAAACGAGGCAGTGAAAACTCTACCGCTTCTGTCCACAGGGGCCGCCATAATCAACACAAAATAAAGTTCCTGTAATTCATTACACTACTTGTTACATTACTTTTGCATTACTCCAAAATACCACCTGAGATCAAGTAATATGAACTGCATTTAACGAGCCAAACAAACTCACTTGAGTTGTTCGCACACCAAACTATGGCTTTATAGTAGACTATTCTTGCATATTTGACGTGTTTATTACTAAAGCAGTGGTTATACCTAATGAGGAGCAGTCTCTCATGTCGCAGACAACCTGTTCCTCTAATGTGTTACATTACTGTGTTACAGATAAATGTAATGTGATTACAGTACCGTGTTGCACCCATCATTGGATACAGGAAACAGTGATAATGGTGAAATGTAACAATCCAACCATCTTGAGATACGTCTGCAGCTTATACATATGATCATAAGTCATTTGAACTTCAGTTAACTTGTGTAAGCCTGACCCAGATCAGACACAAATAGGCCTTTGGTGGATGCAATATTTTGGCATGACTTCTAGTGCTGCCGGAGGAAATTGCAAGAGGTGCAAATGT